AATGGGGAGCCTGAGGAATGACTGTTCCTGAGTACAGGGTTTATTTTAGGGAAGATTAAAATGTTCCACAATTAGTGGTGACAGTTTCACAACATAATGAATGTAATTAAAGTCACTGAATTCCAATAATTTAAAATAGTGAAACAGGTGACTTTTATCTTTATTTTCTTAAAAAAGAAAAAATCCTATAGGATGAATAAAATGATATCCCCACATTATAGCTGAGATTTAGAGGTCAAGTCACTTGCCTGAAGTCAAATTATAATCAAAGCTGACTGAACCTCCCCAAACTTTCCTCCTAATCACTAAGTTACAACCAAAATAAAAAGTTAGAAGTTAACTCTAATTTCCTAGTTGGGTTTTTGTGAATTTGTGGCGTTTTTGAGGAGCGGTGGCGCGCAGCGGGAGAGCGCTCTGGAAGGTCGACGGAGCAAGCAGAATTTAGGGAGTAAGAGGGTTTAGGGAAGAGAGGAAAGGACGAGAATGTCCGTATGCTCACCGCTGGGGCCTCGGCAACTGCCTCCGCCTCGACGCAGAGGGGCGCTAATCAACCGAGCACCGCGCCTCCTCCAACGCTTTCCCCAACCGCCCCGCCACCGGCCCGCGGACAGGTTTACAGCCTCCGCCGCGCGCAGACCTCGCAAAGGCGCGGTCCGACCCCTGTATCAGGCAGGCAGGAAGACCCAGTAAGCGCTGCCTTGGCCCCTTCTCCGCCTACGGGCCCTTGAGCCCCAGTCCCCAGCTTGTCCATTCCTGGCAGCCTGCATGCTCCAGGGGCGCCCAATCCACCTTTCTCAGGCTTCCCAAATATTTCACCACTTGCTCCTCCTGGCCAACCGCACAGTCCCCTACTTCCTCGAATAGAGACTAGGAGTGAGACATTTGCCCTGGCTATGATATTTAAGGGGAAACCAACTCAATAATCAAGATAAATACTTTCATGTGACATTTAACTTTTTTTTCAAAATAAAAACCTAAAAGTACTGTGAGGTACTATAGGGGAGATAAAACAAAAGGAAGAGTCAGCAATCTTGACTATCTTTATTTAAAAATCTATTATTTTTCTTATGGAATTTTTGGTGTTTTTTTCAATATTGCATTAACTTTTTTGTTCTTGTTGTTCTTAATCTTCAGTACTGAGTATTTTGAGCTCTGAGTATGTCCCTAACTACTGTCAGCTTCAGTGTGGTAGTGGCAGAAAGGCTAGGAAAGTGCAAGTAGCCACCTTCTCCTCAGAGTCTGTGGGGGGCTAGCAAGAAACTTCCAGAACTGCAAACCCTCTAGATATGTCCCAGCACAAGGTCTCAGTGGAGGGCAGGGACAGGAGAGTTAATGAGCATTCTGGCTACTGGCTGCTACAAAACTAATAAGTTTATTAATATTCTTTCTAGTAAGTCATTCCTACTAACTGTTTTCATTATTTTAATGGTATAAACTAAAAAGCATGAAGAATACTTACATAATAAACATCTGACAGCTAAGTGAAGATGAAAGTCACTCTATCATATGTGACTCTTTGTGACCCCATGGACTGCCTCCCAGGTTTCTCTGCCCATGGAATTCTCCAGGCCAGAATACTGGAGTGGGTAGCCTATACCCTCTGGACGGGATCTTCCCAACCCAGGAATTGAACCGGGGTTTCCTGCATTGCAGGTAGAGTCTTTACCAGCTAAGCTACTAGGGAAGCCTGCCTGCCAGCCAAACATTTTACAAAATGAGTTGCTTTATGCCTCACCACAACTCTGGGAGATTGGTGCTGATATTACTATCTGATTTTACAGTGCAAGTAACAGGACCAGAGTGATTAAGTCTTGTTTAAGGTTATCCAGCATGTATAGTGGCAGAACTAGAATTCAAATCCAAACTGGCTAACCCTACCCAGAACCCTTACTTAGGAATCACAAAATGCATTATACCCTACCAGCAAGTGATTTGGTGGGAATTTCAGCTAAAAAGTCTTAAAACTCCATTAAAAAAACTTACAAACAAATTGAGGTGCTAGAATATCCGTTCATACAATGTATCACACCTATGAGGAAAGAAACAATATGATTTCCATGGAAACTCCTTGTAAACTAATCCTAGAAAGGTATTTTACTATTATACAAAAGTATGCTAACTCCATAGCTCAGCCAAGTGGTGTGACACCAGCAATCCCCTCTCCCTCTGCAGCATTTGGGCCAGTGTTTGTTGTACACTGATTGATCTGCTGTCAGTCCACGCTGCAAAACCATCTTCTAACCTGTATTCCAAATTATTGCTCTACAGTTGGCCACCAGACCTGCACTGGTCCCCTGGCATTCCAACCAGCTTCCTCAGAAACACTGCTGCTACCAGCAGGCTGGGGAGGAGAAAGAAGACTGCCCTCCCCTTTTATGATGACTTCTTTCCAGACTCTTGAGTTAAAACCAGACCATAATGTTTGGCAGCTAAAATTAAGACCTGGGTGATATTACCCAAAGCCACATAAGGAAGATGATTTGAGGTGATTCAAAGACCTTTCTAATAATCTTTTGATTATTGTCTTTTGAATAATCATGCATTTGTGCTTAGTCGCTCATTCATGTCCAACTCTTTGTGACCCCGTCGCCTGCAGGCTCCTCTTTCCTTGGGGATTCTCCAGGCAAGAATACTGGATTGCCATGCACTCCTCCAGGGGATCTCCCCAACCCAGGGATCAAACCCAGGTCTCCTTCATTGCAGGCAGATTCTTTACCAACTGAGCCACCAAGGAAGCCCAAGCATGCTTTTAGTTTTAGCATCAGTAGAAACAAAATTAGCCTGCTACTGTAGTTTAATGTATTATTTCAATCATTTTCAATTTGCATGAAAAATTTTTTAATTATACATTTACTTTAATGCAAATTCAAAATGATTGAAATAGTATATTAAACTACAATAGCAGGTTAATTTTGTTTCTAGTGATGCTAAAAAGAGTAGTAAAAGTCTTAACACAATATATTTAAAGTAAATAATAAAAGAGCTCTCAGAAGCTATTAGAGCATCCACAGAACTTGGCAGTTAGACTCCCAGCATATGTGACCACCCAAGAACTCTATTCTATCTGCCCAGGTTGTACAAATGCTGATCCTAACGAGATACTGCATATTGCATAATATTAGTTTTGAAAAGGCTCTGGATTCTAGGGAACAGTTAGTTGCCTGAGATTCCAGTCCCAACAGAACTAATTCAGTCAAGACCAATTTTCCCAGTGCTACTTTACTGAGGACCTGGGTGATGTTACACAAAGCTGTAACATGATTTGAGGTAATTTACAGACTAGTCCTGTTCCTATAAGATTTGATAGAAACAAATACAAAAGATTTCAACTTGACCAGGGCTCAACTTTTATTCTTTTTTTAAGTTTTTCTTTTTTTAATGTGGACTGTTTTTAAAGTCTCTATTGAATTTGTTACCATATTGCTCCTGTTTTCTGTTTTGGTTTTTTGGCCACGAGGCATGTGGGATCTTAGTTCCCTGACCAGGGATTGAACCGGCACCCCCTGCATTGAAGGGTGAAGTTTTACCCATTGAACCGCCAGGGAAGTCCCATAGCTCAACTTTTAAATTCACAACAGTGAAGGGAAAAAAAAGGCATCTGGCTTTCCTATTTCATTTCTCTTTTAGTTGGTATTCAGTTTTGCTTCTTCTCCCTTAGAATAATGAGCCAAACTGCTGTTTTCTTTATACCCCTGTTGTTTTCTAAATTTAATAAATGTTATATCATCATAATTATAACAACACAAATAATGAGTCATAAACACTTCTGTAATCCCAGTAGCCCTGAGCATGAACTTCTAGAGATGGTGAACTGAAGAAACAGAATTGTATAACTAAAATAAGCTTTTTTTTCACTATACTGTCTTTCATTATGAAGTGACCATTTCCTAAGAAATGCCCTAAGTAGCTCCCAATGAAAATATCAAGGGAACACAACTTAAGCACTGAAGTCTCCTTACCGGTATCCCAAGCTACACTCCTGCTCATTTCTTTCATCCTCTGTATTGGCATAAGACCCATCTTTCTAAATATTTAATCTCTTTAGCCATGTAATTCCTTTCCAAAGAATCACCCTCCTTAGCCTCTTCAAGAAGCATCCCAGTCTTATGCCTGTTGCTCCTAGATAGAGCTAGTTCCTGGTTCCAGTCTTGCAAGATACTGTTTTCAAAGAGACAACATTCCTTCCACTCCTGGGTTTCACCTGGCTTGAAATGCCATCTCCCAACCTCTCTGCCAATGTAGCCTAATGGTTAAGAGTAGAGTTTTGGAGTCTCACTTCAAGGGCAGATCCCAACTCCTCTGCTGATGTGACATCTGATGCATTAAGCAATTTGTAATTAACATTATATCTTGTCCTGGGAACTTTCCCCTTTTCTAAAGGTGAATTAATTACTTGAATTAGTTAACCGCAAGAGAAAACTGTGCAACAGGCAGGCAACTGGGGGTGGGGATGGGAATGGGGGTGGGAAGGAGTTTGGGGTAAGAGACTCCAGATGGAGACAGAATTGAAAGGAAAATGGTTTTTAATAACCTTCTATCGCCTTACATCCAAGACCTCCTAAGATGTAGGCAATAATTTAAAAAATAGGGGAGCCTGTCACTGTTTACCCTCATCTCCTCTGTCCCCTCTTTCCCTGGCAGCAGGGCCTAGACAGCAAATAGTGGAGTTGGTGGAGACAAAAGTGGGGCGCCAAACTAACACGTTTTGCAAGGAATGTGACCACAGCTAACTACAGGCATTGAGAAAGTGGACCCAAGGATACCAAGTCCCAGCCCGCCCGCCGCCTCAACTCCAACCTAAGAGAAACCGCGACTGGAGCGGACCCAATTCTCCCAATCCTGCAGATGGGGGTGGGAGGAAAACGGCTCTGCTCCGCCCTCCGAGCTGGGCGGCGACCTGTAGGCGGCAGCGCTCCCCTCTTTCCCGGCTCTCATTTAGGGCGCAGCACTAGAAACGCGGATCGCGGTGAGCCCTCTGAGGTTAGAAGTCCGGCGGCGACATGAGCTCGAGGCCGGTGTTCCTGAGCGCGGCCGAGGTACAGGACCACCTCCGCAGCTCCAGCCTGCTCATCCCGCCCCTGGAGACCGCTCTGGCCAACTTCTCCAGCGGCCCCGAAGGAGGGGTCGTGCAGCCTGTGCGCACCGTGGTGCCAGTCGCCAAGCACAGCGGGTAAGTGAGGAGGGCCGGGGCCGGGGCTGGAGACCCTGGAAAGGAGGAAAGGGAGGGGTGAGAAGGGAAACCGCAGGAGAAAAGAAAGGAGGGCTTCCCTAACCCCTACTAATAACACCTTTCACCTAATTTGTGCAACCCACTGTGGGCTCTTTAAAGCCGTTATCTGGTTTCATTCAACACACTCCATATGTACGTGGCTATTGATGCAGCTATTTGGAAAAACCGAGACTCAAGAGGTGAAGCGAAGGACCCAAGGTAATGGCAGCTAGTAAGTGGCAGAACTGGGGTGGTTTTTCTCACCCAGAGGCAGACTCTTGAGCGTGCTCTGCACACTGCTAACGGGAACGGCAGAGGGGTGGGGACGAAGGAGGGAGAAGGCCAGTAGGGCAGTGAGTGAGGGACATGGGGACTTGATAGAAGGTCTCATCATTGACGGGAAGGGGTTGAAACTGCTCGCTCTCTTCTTGTAGTTTCCTGGGGGTCATGCCCGCCTACAGCGCCGCAGAGGACGCCCTGACCACCAAGCTGGTCACCTTCTATGAGGGTCACAGCAGCACCTCCGCTGTCCCCTCCCATCAGGCTACAGTGCTGCTCTTCCAGCCGAACAATGGCTCCCTTCTGGCGGTGAGCAGCTCCCTGCCCTGTGCACAAAGCTAGGCTCAGAATTCAGGCAACGGGGAGTATTGCATGTGACCATATATGCCCCTCTCTGAATGACTGGATGCGGATGACTGTGAAGGTTACCTGTGACTGTGCATCTGTTTCTAGGACTGCCTGAGGATGTAGCCCAGCATCAGAGACCACTGGTGTTTCCAGTGTGTGAACTTGTGGAAGTGATGATCTCGTCATTCTTGTCGTGATCTTGTCCTATACCAGTTACTGCAAATGTACAGCTTGCACAAATCCAGTAGCTAAGGAAACTTTTATTTAGTGAATCTGTAACATGAAGTTACATGAGTTACAGGTTAGGGGCGCTCTTTAATACCTGGGAGTTTTTTCTAAGGGGTACACAGTGACCTGTTTTAACATTTAATATAATATCAAAAAAAAAAATAGTAGTGGTCTGTACTTGTGAATTACTTTGTGTATGTCAGACACTGTTCTAAATACTTCATATGTATTAATGCTTTTAATTCTTAAAACCACTCTGTGAGGTAATTTTATTACCCCATTTTGTAGATGAAAAAAATGAGTCATAGAGCCACTATGCCAAACATCGCCAAGTTTACATAGCTAACAGGGGCATGGATGGACTTCATACCTACTCTGTGTAAGCCCAGGACCTATACTGTCTTAGCATAGTAGCCTATGCTCTTCCGCCTTTATAATTGCCACTTACTGGGCACTTATTATGTGCCAGGCAGGAGAAATTGATCTCATTCAATTCTGACAACTTTCCTCTAAAATTTTCTCAGAATTTCAGGCTCCCCAAGGAAGCTGGCCATGTATTACTCCTCCTAAAAGAGTATTTAGTTCTTGACAACTTCTGCTCACCCAACGGAAATGACATCCATACTACTCACCGAGAGGGCTTACCCAGGAAATTGGTACCACCTCAGGCTTTGGAACTAAATGACAAGGCCTGAAATTCTTTCTGAATCTGACTTCCTCGTTCATAAAATGAGAATATTGATAGTACTTGATGAGGATGAGTTGAGATGAATAATATAAACAGAGGACAGCAGAGCAAAGGATGGTGGTTATTACTAGCCAGGTGTAATTCAGAACCACCTGGGGAGATTTTAAAAGCAATGATGTCCGGGTCCTATCCCTAGCGATCCAGATTCAGTTAGCCTAAGGATATACCTGGGCACCAGTATCTTCACAAACCTACCCATGTGTGCAGGAGGAGTTGAGAGCCACTGAGGTAGAGTTTCAGGGCCTTTGCACAGATGTCAGGTGACTTACTTTGAGAATCTGGGGGAAATAAAGCAAATGGGCATTTCTTGAGGGCTGGCCACATGACTTCATTTATGGCTTCATTTATGCCAATGCTTTTAAACCTCACAAAAACCCTCTGAATGATTGCCATTATCTTTGTTTTTACAGGTAGGAAAAACAAAGTACCTATAGATTAAAATATTTGTTCAAAGTTGCATTTCTTATAAGTGGAGGAATTGGTTCCAGGCAAAACACTCTCCTTGCAGACTGTTAGATGCTTTCTGGTGCTTCCCAGGTACTAGTGGTTAAGGATCCACCTGTCAATGCAAGAGACACAAGAGACACAGGACACACAGGTTCAATCCCTGGATCAGGAAGATTCCCCGGAGTAGGAAATGGCAATCCACTCTAGCCAGTATTCCTGCCTGGAAGATTCCATAGACAGAGGAGTCTAGTGGGCTACAGTCCATGGGGTCACAAGGAGTCAGACATAACTGAACCACCCCCCCCCACACACACACACACAATGCTTTCTAGGGCTAACTCTTTTAGAGCATCTTCTCTCTGCTTAAGTGGTGAATACAGGTGCCCCTTGCTCACTGTCTCTCCTTTCCTCCAAGGTCATGGATGGAAATGTCATAACTGCAAAGAGAACAGCTGCAGTGTCTGCCATTGCCACCAAGGTAAGATTAGTGCAAGCTGGTGGGTGGGATTGAGTATCTCAAACTTGAACATCTAAGAAGAAGTGAGGAACATTTTTATTTTCTATGGGCATAGCTGAAACATCATATGCCAAATGTAGGATGTCAGGTGAGCACAGTGATTCACGAAATGACTGGCTACCATAATGAGCCCAAGATTCTGGGTACCTTACATGTGCTCTTTCTCATCGTCACACCAGCCTTGACGTTTATCTCCATTTGCCAAGTATAGGTAATATGACTCAGAGAGTTTTTGCAAGTTTATCAGGATCACACAGCGAATAAGTGGCAAAGCAGGAATTTAAAACTTGACGTCTCTGACTCCCAGACTGCTTTCTTGCCCCTGATCCACACTGTTCCTGGCAAATCAGTGTGGTTGCCCCATATGCCAGAGTCAGGACTGCACAAAAAGTAGAGGGGACAGCATATCCAAGCCAGACAAATGTATTCATTCAGCAAGTGTTGACTGAGATCATGTATCAGGCACTGTTCTAAATGTCAGAGATGTGGTAGTGAACAAAACAGAGGGTGACATACACAGAGCTGTCAAGACAATAAATAAAATAAATGTGAAATACATAGTATGATTTACTTTAAAAAAAGAAAATTAACCAACAACAAACCCTTTTTGAATTTAGTAATAGGCTAGGATTTGCTCCTAAACCACCCCCCACACCACCGGTTAGAAGGATGAAAATAAAGCAGAATGGAGAGTATTGGGAAGCAGTGGCATTTAAAATTATCAAGGAAAGACCTCACTGAGGTGACATTTGAGTAAAGACCGAAAAAAAAGTGAGTGATTGAAACAGGAGGAAGGGAGGAGCCGTTGAGACAGAAGGAATAGCAAGTGATACAGGTGATAATGTTTTTCTAAGCAGTGCAAGGTCATCCTGCAAGAAGAACAGTATTTTTAGAGGTTAGGGTGAAGAAGAAGAGGTGTCAATAGGAACAGTTAGAGTCTGGAATCTTTCACATTAAAGATCTGGGAGTGCTGACTTATGAGACCTAAGCATAAAGGAAATGTGGGGTCCAGTGAAGGGTTGGAGCAGCAGAGACCAGATGTTCAGATTGTGAGTATTTTAAGGTCTTCTAAACACATGATGATAAGGGAAGAATGTGGGGATAAATCTGGTAATTATGTAGCAAGATTAGACTGCAGTACTCACCTTGAGGAAATGTTTTTTGTTTGTTTGTTTGTTTAATTATATCCAGACCCAGCTCTGAAGTAATCAAGGGACTCTGAGGTATGTTCCTGGTAACTTAGAGGGACTCTAACAATATTGCCCTACATTTGAAAAGGACTTTGATTTTTTTCCAAAATAATTTTCAACCCATTGTCTCAACTTATTTTTGGGTTTGTGTGAGGAAGGCAGAGCAAGAATTACTGGCCTCATTTTGTGCAGAAAGAAATGAAGACTAGGATTTCCTGAAGTCAGCACAGGTAGCTGTAGGTCTTCTTGTTCCAGGTCAATAGTTTCTAACCCAGGCTATGCAGTAGCAGCCTCTGGAGTTTTTTCTTTTTTTAATTCAGGTTCCCAAAACCATTGAATTAAAATTGCTGAGGACAAGGCCAAAGAAGCTAGGTGTTTTAGTTTTTTATGGTTTCTAGTTAATTCTGATGATCAACCAGGTTAATTCTTCTAGACCCAGCTCTCAGTTACACTATGCTTTTTTGCATGGATAAAAATATGCACTCCAAGAAATGTTCAGAATCATTGAGTTGATGCTTCAGAGTTTAGGCTTAAACTACACCATTTTTTCCCTAGGGACTCAGTTGAGCTCTTTCAATAAGGAGCAAAGATTTATTTTACTTTTTGTGCTATAGGAGTAGAAAGTTTTCTTTTCCATCACTTCTGTTTTATTTAGGGCTTTCGGGAGAAGGACGAATATTAGGAAGTTCTTGGGTTTGATGGACACTGTAACTTAGTGTTTGGGTTGCATGTACCCTGAGTTGGGGACTCTGGCATGCTTTCTCAGAGTCACGATATATATCAGGGTTTATTCTTGACATGCAGTTATTCAACAAATACCTAGGTGCCCACTAGGCACCAGGTCCTGTGCTCAGCATGGGATATGGAATGGTGACTAAAACCAAATACAGAACCTGCAGTCACGGAGCACAGAGTGCATTTGGGGAGACAGATATTAATCTAAAGATCGCACCAGTTAATGTGAAAATTACAATCCTGACAGATACATTGAATGAAAGGGGAGCAAAACAAAAAAGGGCGGGGGGAGTGTCTTGCTCCAGGCTGTGGGATTTGCCAAGGCTTATGGACTTCCCCTGTGGCTCAGCTGGTAAAGAATCTGCCTGCAATGCAGGAGACTTGGGTTCAATCCCTGGATTGGGAAGATTCCCTGAAGAAGTGGACGGTTATCCACTCCAGTATTCTTGCTGGAGAATTCCATGGACTGTATGATCCATGAGGTTGCAGAGTCAGACACGACTGAGAGACTTTCACTTCTTTTGTGAGGGTTACCTGAGCTTCAGTTCAGTTGAGTTCAGTTCAGTTGCTCAGTCATGTCCGACTCTTTGCAACCCCATGGACTGCAGCACACCAGGCTTCCCTGTCCATCACCAACTTCCGGAGCTTACTCAAACTCATGTCCATTGAGGCAGTGATGCCATCCAACCATCTCATCCTCTGTTGTCCCTTTCTTCTCCTTCTCCTCCTGCCTTCAATCTTTCCCAGCGTCAGGGTCTTTTCAGATGACTCAGTTCTTTACATCAGGTGGCCAAAGTATTGGAGCTTCAGCTTCAACATCAGTCCTTCCAATGAACATTCAGGACTGATTTCCTTTACGGTGGACTGGTTTGATCTCCTTGCAGTCCAAGGGACTCTCAAGAGTCTTCTCCAACACCACAGTTCAAAAGCATCAGTTCTTCAGTGCTCAACTTTCTTTACAGTCCAACTCTCACATCCACGCATGACTACTGGAAAAACCATAGCTTTGACTAGATGGACCTTTGTTGGCAAAGTAATGTCTCTGCTTTTTAATATGCTATCTAGGTTGGTCATAGCTTTTCTTCCAAAGAACAAGTGTCTTTTAATTTCATGGCTTCAGTCACCATCTGCAGTGATTTTGAAGCCCAAGAAAATAAAGTCTGTCACTGCTTCCATTGTTTCCCCATCTGTTTGCCATGAAGTGATGGGACCGGATGCCATGATCTTAGTTTTCTGAATGTTGAGTTTAAGCCAACTTTTTCACTCTCCTCTTTCACTTTCATCAAGAGGTTCTTTAGTTCTTCTTTGCTTTCTGCCATAAGGGTGGTGTCATCTGAATATCTGAGGTTGTTGATATTTCTCCCAGCAATCTTGATTCCAGCTTGTGCTTCATCCAGCCCAGCATTTCACATAATGTACTCTGCATAGAAGTTACATAAGCAGGGTGACAATATACAGCCTGACGTACTCCTTTCTCGATTTGGAACCGAGATCCAAAATAGCTGAGCTTGCATTAGAATAACAATAGGACTTACTTGTGAGAAGCTGAGGGGAAAATACTCCAGGCAGAGGGAAGAACCTGTGGAGAGCAGAGCCCTGTGGTTGATAAAGGCCTGTGTGCTTGGGGAGCGGCAAGGAAGCTTCTTGCCTGAAAGACCAGAGGTGCAGAGAGTGTGTCCAGAGGGGAAGCTGGGCTGCCCAGAGGGCCAGACCACACAAGGCCTTAGTGAATGCAAGTGAAACATAGTCTTTCAAACTCTTTAAGAAACCTAGCAGATTCATATATATGTTTTTAATTATCTGCATGCTCTAGGAAAAGAATGAAGTGGCACCAATCCTATTATGATTTAATAAATATCATAAATGTTATACCATTTAGGAAAAGAGATGCCAGTTATAACATTATTATCAGGGCAGCAACGTGTCAAGCAAGACAAGCAAGCAGAACCACACATTTACTCTCAGAGGTTAAAGGTTACTTTTACAGGATACCGCAACAATTTCTGAAGCCCACATGTACTTCCAAGAATAGATTTATATTAACTGAGAACAGAAAAAAAATTATTTAGTTAAAGAAAATTACCTAATTCTCCTTACTGAGTGGGAACATAAGTTATTGTCATTTTGAAACCTTTTCAAATCAAGTTTCTTTGAACTATAGTTGATAGCAGAAAATGGTATCTCTCCTGTGCAGCTGCAGGAGAGAGAATCTCTAAACATCTGCTAATATTTGAGACTCCTTTTTGCTAGTGAGTAATGATTAAAAACACTTTTGTTTTTTAGGTTGCACTCCAGAGTCTCATTAATGGTAATTATTGATACAGAGCAGATCAAGATCAACTTTTGTTAAATGAAATAGAGAAAAGACAGAAGATGGTCTTATTTAACATGGATGATTTGAGGCACAAGTGATGTCCTTTCTCAATGCCAGTAGTTCTTAACTGGAAGCAGTTAAGACCAACTGTTTCCAGAGACCAACTGCCCCAGAGACAATTAGCAATGTTTGAAGACATTTTTGGTTGTCATAACCGAGGGCATAGGGGGTGCTAATGGACAGAGGCCAGGGATGCTGCCAAGCATCCTGCAGTGCACAGTACAGCCCTCCCACCTGCCAACCACCCAAACCCTGCCAACAAAGAATTATCCAGCCCAAATATCAGAGTGCTGAGGTCAAGAAACCCTGCTCTATTTCTCATAAGTAATAGTAGATTCATGCCAATTCTGTGCAAATAAGACTGTCTCTGTTTTAATGGGACTTATACACCAGTACAGGAAAATAAATTTGTAAACAAACAAGTGCTATGAAGTGGTAAATTCTATCAGAGAGGTCAGAAAGGCTTTACCGGAGAGTTGATCACACAACATCACTCCCAAATAAAGACACACATATACCCTGAGGAGGCCCCACAAATGCCTTCTCTACATTCCTCTTAAGGAAGACAGGCTGAGACAGGATCAACAGAGAGTAGGCACAACAAATATCATTTGAGAACCTAAGTTCACAAGGATTCATGGTTCCAAAAGCAACTCAACAGCTCTGAGAAGTAGGTTGGCTTATCATGTCCCTGAGATGGGGTAGCAGAGGAGAAAGCATGTGGGCGTTGGAGAAAGATGAGGTTTTGGAGCCCTACTGTGCCATTTAACAATTACAGGGCTCTGAGCAAGTTACATAGCTTCTTTGGACCTCAATTTCTTTATCTGTAAGAAGAGGATAACTGTGGGAGCATCTAGCACATAGGGTCAATTGTCTGGACTAAAAGAGATCATGAAGGTTAAGCATTGGTATATATTAATTACCCAGTGAAGGCTTTTCTCTCCTGCCTGCACCATACAGAGCGGAAATGGAAATACAAAATGACATTTCCTTGATTGCCTGAGAGGTTCTGAATGAAGGTCCCTGATTCTCAAACTGTACTTGATCCTCTCCTGACTTCAAGAGTCTGTCCTGATCTTTTCTATCTCCTTTCTCTCAAATAGTTTTTGAAACCTCCCAACAGTGAAGTGTTGTGTATCCTTGGAGCTGGGGTCCAGGCTTACAGCCATTATGAGATCTTCACAGAACAGTTCTTCTTTAAGGAGGTAAGTCCAGGGAGGGAGGTGGGGGATGTGGAGAGGAAGCAGCAGTGACATTTCTCTGTACTCCTTTGTTAAAATGTAAGTTATGCTGCAATCGTCAGGTTGGGAGTACCACCATCTAAACCATTCTTTTAATGGCTTGTGTGAAAGTCCCACTGGAGATGAAGAGTTGGGGGAAAGGCCTGAGTCACTTCTTCCAGTTTCTAAGTTTGTAGAGTACACCACAGTACACAGAGCCTACTCAGTTACTTAAAGGATTGTATCATATCCATTGCATACATTCAGTTTTTCTTTTGGCCCCTTTCTGTTGCTTCTCTTAGCAGAATCTGGGGTCCTTAAGTATTCAAGGGTTAGGAATCCAGGAACTGACAATGAGGTCTGGAGAGCAGGAGGCCACAACGTGCCCCTTCAAAGCCTAGACATCAGTCCACCTTTCTCCATTCTGCCTGGCTCACTTTATTTTTGATACACCTGATACTGCTTATATTTGATTTTTTTTCTATGTGTGTGAGAGGGGTGGGACAGATTTAAGGTATGATTTTTTTTATGATAGAACTAGTACCTCTGCTTTGAGAAATGAAAATATAAAGAAGAAAAAAGAAGAAAAATTCCCTTTTATGTGTTTTCAAAGACAAGTAGTTAACATTTCTAGTCTTCTCTCATCTGCTTTTTATGATTTTTTATGCTTTTCACCAAGGTTTAATTGACATACAATATCATATTAGTTTCAGGTGTACCTCATAGTGATTGGATATTTATAGGCATTTCAAAGTGGTCACCATGATAAACCTGGTTTCCCCTTGTCACCATACAAAGTTATTATAGCATTATTGACTGTATTCTCTATGCTGCACATTGTATCCCCATGACTTAATTATTTTATAACCAGAAGTGTGTACTTCTTAATCCCCTTCATCTGTTTCACTCATCCCCAGCTCCTCCCTCACCCTTCCGGCAATCACCACAAGTAGTTTCTTTAAATTGTTCTCTGTGTGTATATATCAGTTTCTTAATTATTTTGTTTGTTCATTCATTTGAGGTTTTTTTGATTCCACATGTAAGTGAGATCATATACTATTTGCCTTTCTCTGTCTGGCTTATTTTGCATAGCATAAAACCCTCAAGATCCACACATTTTTGTCTCAGATCACAAGATTTCATTATTTTTATGGGTGAACAATATTTCATTTTGTGTGTGTATACACACATGACAATTGCTTTATCCATTTATTCACTGATGGACACTTAGGTTGTTTCTATATCCTGAGTATTGTAAATAATGCTGCAGTGAACAGGGGGGTACCTACAGCTTTTTGCCTTGCAGTTTTGTTTTCTTCAGATAAATACCCAGAACTGGAATTACTGGATCATATGGTAGTTTTTTGTTCTCTGTTTTTTATTTAAATTTAAAAAATTTTTACAATCTCATGTTGGTTTCTGCCATACAACAGTGTAAATTATACATACATCCCCTCTGTCTCTAGCCTCCCTCCCCTACCCCCATCCCATCCCTCCAGGGCATCACAGAGAGCCAGACTGGGCTCCTGGTGCTACATAGCAACTTCTCACCAGCTATTCTTTTACACTTGATTGTGTATGTATGTTGATGCTACTTTCTCGACTCATGCCATTCTCTCCCTCCCACACGATGTCCACAAGTCCATTCTCTATATCTGCATCTCCATTCCTTCCCTGAAAATAGTTTCATTAGCATCATTTTTCTAGATTCCATATATATGTCTTAACATACTATATTTGTTTTTCTCTTTTTGACGTGCTTCACTCTTTATAACAGGATTTAGGTTCATCCACCTCATTAGAACTGACATGATTCAAATTTATTATTTTTATGGCTGAGTAATATTCCATTGTGTGTATGTACCACATCTTCTTTATCCATTCATCAATTGATGAACACCTAGGTTGCTTCCATGTGATGGGTATTGTAAACAGTGCTGCTCTGAACACTGGGCTACATGTATCTTTTCGATTATTTTTTTCTCAGGGTATATGCCCAGTAGTGGGGTTGCTGAGTCATATGGTAGTTTTATTCCTAGATTGTTAAGGAATCTCCATAGTGGCTGTAACAGTTTACATTCCCACCAACAGTGTAGGAGGGTTCCCTTTTCTCCACATCCTCTCCAGCATTTATTATTTGTAGATTTCTTGATGATGGCCATTTTGACTCGTATGAGGTGATACCTAATTGTAGTTTTGGTTTGCATTTCTCTATAAGTTAGTGATGTTGAACATCTTTTGTCTTTGCCATCTGTATGTCTTCTTTGGAGAAGTGTCTTTAGGTCTTCTGTCCATTTTGTGATTGGGCTGTTTGTTTTCCTAATATTGAGCTGTATAAGTTGCTTGTTGGAGTATAGTTGATTCACAATGTTGCATTAGTTTTAGATATATAGAAACATGATTCATTTTAGAAATAAAAGCAAAAATAAACAAATGGGACCTAATGAAACTTAAAAGCTTTTGCACAACAAAGGAAACTATAAGCAAGGTGAAAAGACAGCCCTCAGATTGGGAGAAAATAATAGCAAACGAAGCAACAGACAAAGGATTAATCTCAAAAATATACAAGCAACTCCTGCAGCTCAACTCCAGAAAAATAAATGACCCAATCAAAAAATGGGCCAAAGAACTAAACAGACATTTCTCCAAGGAAGACATACGGATGGCAAAAAAACACATGAAAAGATGCTCAACATCACTCATTATCAGAGAAATGCAAATCAAAACCACAATGAGGTACCATTACACGCCAGTCAGGATGGCCGCTATCCAAAAGTCTCCAAGCAATAAATGCTGGAGAGGGTGTGGAGAAAAGGGAACCCTCTTACACTGTTGGTGGGAATGCAAATTAGTACAGCCACTATGGAAAACAGTGTGGAGATTCCTTAAAAAGCTGGAAATAGAACTGCCATATGACCCAGCAATCCCACTTCTAGGCATACACACTGAGGAAACCAGATCTGAAAGAGACACATGCACCCCAATGTTCATCGCAGCACTGTTTATAATAGCCAGGACATGGAAGCAACCTAGATGCCCATCAGCAGATGAATGGATGAGGAAGCTGTGGTACATATACACCATGGAATATTACTCAGCCATTAAAGAATTCATTTGAATCAGTTCTAATGAGATGGATGAAACTGGAGCCCATTATACAGAGCGAAGTAAGCCAGAAAGATAAAGACCATTACAGTATACTAACACATATATATGGAATTTAGAAAGATGGTAACGATAACCCTATATGCAAAACAGAAAAAGAGACTCCGATGTATAGAACAGACTTGTCGACTCTGGGAGAAGGCGAGGGTGGGATGTTTCAAGAGAACAGCATCGAAACATGTATATTATCTAGGGTGAAACAGATCACCAGCCCAGGTTGGGTGCATGCAACAAGTGCTTGGGCCTGGTGCACTGGGAAGACCCAGAGGGATTGGGTGGAGAGGGAGGTGGGAGGGGGGATTGGGATGGGGAATACATGTAAATCCATGGCTAATTCATTTCAATGCGTGATAAAAACCACTGCAATGATGTAAAGTAATTAGCCTTCAACTAATAAAAATAAATGGAAAAAAAGAAAAAAGAAAAAAAAAAAGAAACATGATTCATATATATATATTTATCTATTCTTTTTCAGATTCTTTTCCCATACAAATTATTACAGAATATTGAGTAGAGTTTCCCATGTAATACAGTTGGTCATTGTTGATTATCTGCTTTATATATAGTAGTGTGTATATGCTAATCCCAACCTCCAACTTTATCCCTCACCCTCAGCCTTTCCCCTATGGTAACTATAAATTTGCTTTTGAAGTCTTTGAGTCTGTTTCTGTTTCATAAATAAGCTCATTTGTATCATTTTTTTAGATTCCACATATGAGTGATATCATATGATATTTGTCTTTCTCTGATTTACTTCACTTAGTATGGTAATCTATAGGTCATCCATGTTGCTGCAGATGTCATTATTTCATCCTTTTTATGGCTGATTAATATTCCATTTTATGTATGTACCACATCTTCTATATTCATTCATCTGTCTGTAGACATTTAGGTTGCTTCCATGTCTTGGCTGTTATAAATAGTGCTATAATGAACATTGGGGTGCATGTATCTTTTCAATTTATGGTTTTCTCTGGATATATGCCCAGGAGTGGGATTGCTGGATCATATGGTAGCTCTATTTTTACTTTTTAAAGGAACTTCCATACTGTTTTCCATAGTGACTTTGCCAATTTACATTCCCATGGTGTAGAAGGGTTCCATTATCTGCACACTTTCCTCCAGCATTTGTTGTTTGTAGACTTTTTGATTGTGGCCATTCTGACCAATGTGAAGTGATACCTCATTGTAGTTCTGATTTGCCTTTCTCTAGTAATGAGCGATATTGAGTATCTTTTCATATTGGCTTTTTGGCCATCTTTATGTCTTCTTTGGAGAAATGTCTATTTAGACCTTCCACCCATTTTTTAAATAAGATTCTTTTTAAATTGAGCTGCATGGGCTGTTTGAATATTTTGGAGATTAATCCCTTGTTGGTCACTTCATTTGGAAATACTTTCACCCATTTTGTGGGTTATCTTTTCATTTTGTTACAGTTTCCTTTGCTGTACAAAAGCTTTTAAGTTTAATTAGGTCCTATTTGTTTATTTTTGTTTTCACTTCCATTACTCTAGGAAGTAGACCCAAAAAGTTATTGTTATGATTTATGTCAGAGAGTGTTCTGCCAATGTTTTCCTCTACGAGTTTTATAGTATCTAAGCTTACATTTAGGTTTTTAATCCATTTTTAGTTTATTTTTGTGTGTGATGTTAGAAAATGTTCTAATTTAATTTTTTAAATGTGAAAAGTGTAAGTGAAAGTTATTCAGCTGTGTCCGACTCTTTGTGACCCCACAGACTATACAGACCATGGAATTCTCCAGGCAAGAATACTGGAGTGGGTAGCCTTTCCCTTCTCCAGGGGATCATCCCAACCCAGGGATCGAACCCAGGTCTCTCACATTGAAAGCAGATTCTTTACCAGCTGAGTCACAAGGGAAACCCAAGAATACTAGAGCCCTTCTGCAGGGGATCTTCCCAACCCAGGAATCAATGTAGGGGTCTCCTACATTGCAGGTGGATTCTTTACCAACTGAGCTACCAGAGAAGCCCTATGTAGCTGTCCAGTTTTCCCAGCACCACTTATTGAAGGCACTATCTTTTCTCCATTGCATCGTCTTACCTCCTATGCTAGAGAGCAATTAACCATAGATGTGTGCATTTATTTCTGGGCTGTCTATCTTGTTGCATTGATCTCTATGTCTGTTTTTTGAGCCAGTACCATTCTATTTTGATTAGTATAGTCAGAAGTCAGTGGCCCTAACTCCTTGAGCACCATTTTTCTTTCTCAGGATTGCTTTGGATATTCAGGTTCTTTGGTGTTTCTATACAAATTTTTTAATTTTTTGTTCCAGTTCAATAAAAAATGCCATGAGTAATTTGTAAATTACCTTGGGTAGTATAGTTATTTTGACAATACTGATTCTTCTAATCCAAGAACATGGTATATCTTTCCATCTGTTTGCATCATCTTTTATTTCTTTCATCAGCATCTTATAGTTTTTGGAGTACAGGTCTTTGCCTCTTTTGGTAGGTTTATTCCTACATATTTTATTCCCTTTGATGTGATGGTAAATGGGATTGTTGCCTTAATTTCTTTTTCTGGTCTTTTGTTATTAGCCCATGGAAATGCAATAGATTCCTGTGTGTTAATTTTGTATCCTGCAACTTTACTGAATTCATTGATGAGCTCTAGTGGTTTTCTTGTAGCATCTTTAGAATTTTCTGTATCATCTGCAAAGTGACAGTTTTACCTCTTCTTTTCCAATTTGGATTCCTTTTACTTCTTTTTCTTCTCTGATTGCATGGCTAGGACATCTAAAACTATGTTGAATAAAAGTAGTGAGAGTAAACATCCTTGTCTTCTTCTTCTTCTTAGAAGATAAACTTTCAGCTTTTCAACATTGGACTATCTGTGGGTTTGTCATATATGTCCTTTATTAGGTTGAGGTATGCTCCCTCTATGCTCACTTTTGGAGAATTTTTCTATGCTCACTTTTGGAGAATTTTTATCATAAATGGGTTTTGAATTTTGTCAAAAACTTTTTCTGCTAAGATGCTTATATGGTTTTACTCTTCAGTTTGTTAATGTGGTGTATCACACTGATTGATTTGCGAATATTGAAAACTTCTTGCATCCCAGGTATCAGTCCTCCTCGATCATGGTGTTTGATCTTTTAATATATTATTGGGTTCAGTTTGCTAGTAGTTTGTTGAGTGTTTTTCCATGTATGGTCATCAGTGATATTGGCCTGCAATTTTCTTGTTTTGTGGTATCTTTGTCTGGGTTTGGAATCAGGGTGATGACAGCCTCAAAGAATAAGTTTAGGAGTATTCCTTCCTCTGCAATTTTTGAAGTAGTTTCAGAGGGATCGTGTTAGCTTTTCTCTAAATGCTTGGTGAAATTCACCCATAAAGTTGTCTGGTTATAGACGTTTGTTTGTTGGGAGTTTTTAAATCACAGTTTCACTTTCAGTGCTTGTAATTGATCCGTTCATATTTTCTACTTCTTTCTGATTTAGTTTTGGGAGATTTGTTATCTTCTCCTAGGTTGTCCATTTACTGGCATATAGATGCTTGTAGTAATCTCTTATGATCCTTTGTCTTTATGCAGTGTCAGTTGTGACTTTTCCTTTTCCACTTCTAATTTTATTACCTTGAGTCTTCTCTGTTTTTTCTTAATGAGTTTGGCTAATGGTTTCTTAATTTTGTTTATCTTTTCAAAGAACTGGCTTTTAGTTTCATTGATATTTGCTGTTGTTTTCTTTGTCTCTGTTTATTTCTGTTCTGATCTTTACAACTTATTTCCTTATACTAACTTTGGGTTTTGTTTGTTCTTCTTTCTCTAGTTGCTTTAGGTATAAGGCTAGGTTATTTATCTGAGGTTTTTCTTGTTTTCTGAGGTAAGTTTGTATTGCTATAAATTTCCCTCTTAGAATCGCTTTTGCTGCATCCCAGAGGGTTTGGATCATCATGTTTTCATTTTTTATTTATCACTAGGTGTTTTTTTCCTTCCTCTTTGATTTCTTCAGTGATCCATTGGTTGTTTAGTAATATATCATTTAGCCATCACGTTTGTGTTTTTTGCAATTTTTTCCTTGTAGTTGATTTCTAATCTCATAGCAATGTGAATGGTGGACTTAATAGTTTCTTTGGAAAAATATTTTTTCAGGGCCTCTGCCCATTTTTAAATAAGGTTGTTTATTTTTATATTTTTGTAAGTTCTTTCTATTTTTTTAATATTAACTTCTTATAACATAGGTTTAATCATTAATCTTTTAACCATAGTTTTAATAGTTTTCACTGAATGTTGTAACACCAGTTTTCCTGATTACTTCATATTTGTATAGTATTTCATAGTTTTCTATCAGGAACGGTAGTGTGGTTAACCATTTTCTTATAACTGGGCTTATACTGTTTTCACCTTTATTAATGAACTTATTCACATATAACATTTATTTCTATATTTATTATATTTCCTTATGAGGGCTTCTTTAGGCCTTAGTTTCAATTGAAGGCTGGCGACTGCCACCACAGACATTAAAATATGTTAAACAACCTAGCAAGTCCCCACTTCCTGGTGATGCCAATGACCAGCTTCTCCCTGCAAGCACTTCCTAGGAATCTAGTTGTAGCTACTATTCTTGACCTTCTCCTCTGCTGCACCATTCACTCCTGTAAGTGTAAGTAAGTGTTAGTTGCTCAGCTGTGCCCAACTCTTTGTGACCCCGTGGACTGTAGCCCACCAGGCTTCTCTGTCCATGAAATTCTCCAGACAAGAATACTAGAGTGGGTAGTCATTCCCTTCTCCAGGGTATCTTCCGGACCCAAGGATTGAACCTGAGTCTTCTGCATTGCAGACAGATTCTTTACCATCTGAGCCACCAGGGAAGTCCCAATTTACTCCTGAAACCCTTCCAATTTTTAATTCCTTATGTATCCTTCAGAGATCAAGCTGTTCCATGCACAGCACTGCACATCCTGTTTGTTAATCTCACACCTGTCCCAAACATAAACTGTGAGTTTGATGCTGACCTTGTCAGTTATGATTTGCATTTACATACATGTAAACTTAGGCTGAATGAGGTTAAATAGCTTCAGAAACAGTGACAGAGCAAAGTCTGATTCTAAACCTGTGTAGCTCCAGAATTTGCTCTGCTAATCACTAAGCTCTAAAATATCTATTACACTACTGAGGCTGTGTGTCTCAAGCTAGAATTGAAAAATCTCCCCCCTTCCTGACAGGGAAATGGAGTAGAGAAAGATCATTTTCACATCTGGCCCAGACAAATGTTCATCCACCATAAGGAATGATTTAAATAACTGCAGCCTTAACCCTAGAGTAGTTCAACTTTTCCTTGTAACTCCTAGGTTTGATGAAACATAAACAGCCAAATAATCACAGCACCATGTCTCTTTTATTCCCCTGAATGAAGGTGAGAATATGGAACCGCACCAAAGAAAATGCAGAGAAGTTTGTGAACTCAGTGCCAGGAGAGGTGCGGGTCTGTTCATCGGTCCAGGAGGCTGTGACAGGGGCAGATGTGATCATCACAGTCACCATGGCAACAGAGCCCATTTTGTTTGGTGAATGGGTCAAGCCTGGGGCTCACATCAATGGTAAGCAGAGTGGCTCCATGAATATTGGGTGGCCAGCCTCTCCCTTGACTGGACCAAGGGCCTGCATCTGCAGAGTTGTTTTACTCATGCAGAATGCCTGAGCTTTTTAATGGCCTCAGAAACATTTGAACCTTAAAGAAACAGTATGCACTCCAAAATATGAAACAAAAATCACAAACTCAAAACTAATAAATTTAATTAAAATTTTATAAAGTATAATATTATGGCAAATGATCAACTATAACTCGTTCTTAAATGTCATGAAATTTAATTACAAAAGCCAAATGACTCACTTGTTCTTGGGAACTCACAAATACTTGGGATTAAATTTTTTTTAATTACAGCACAAAATACATTTTATATGACTAAATGTATTTATGTAAATGTTTTTTCATATGTGGGGGAGGATAATTGGGACTTTAAACATACGAGTTTCTTGGGCTCCTGAAGATCCTTAAATGACCCTGGGGGCTATAGCAAGATCTGGTCTATATTAAATACTTACTATAGCAGGGGCTATTCTAAATTCTTTGTTATGTACTATATCACTGAATCTTGAAAACAACCTTATGAAGTAGGAACTATTATTATCATGACTCCTGTACGGTAGGTAAACCAAGGCATGGAAAGATTAAGTAACTTGCCCAAAGTCAAAGGTTTTTAGAGGTGAAGCTGGGATTTGAACTGAGGCAATATACCCTCAAAGCCTAAGATCTTAAATGATACCCTATGTTATCTTTCAGTAAGAAAACTGGAGTCTGATTAGCAAGCAATTGAAGGCTAGAGAATTTAAACACAGTACCAATGCCTCATGTTTTAGTGACAGGCACATAGTATGAACTCTAAGATCTCTGCACACATGTGCAAGAGCCAAGTATCATGATTATTTGTTCTTTCACAAATGTGTATTGAATCCCTACAATGGTTCAGGCACTGTTTTACATGCTGGGAAAGCCAAAGTAAACCATCAAGTAAAGCCATCAAGGTCACTGCTTTCCTGCTGTTTACATTCTAGAGAAGGGAGGTTGACAATAAACAAGTAAACAAATAGATGAGCTAGATAGTTCCAGCTAAAGGTTAAGTTCCATGACGGAAACAACACATGTATGATTGAGGAATGGGCTATAGAAAATTGAAGGTTTCAGCCTGTATGGGACTGATATTATGAATGTGAATCCAGGGGATAGGTCTTATTGTTCATAAAGCCAGACTCGAATAGTAAGACCATTTCTAGAAGGACTTGGAACTTCAAGAGAAGTCAGTTCTGGGTAAAATGGGCAAGAGCTGAATCTTCAATAAGACTGAGTTGATTTTTTTTCAGTTTTTTTTTTTTTTTTTGGCTTAAAGCAGAACATATTTGCTATCTTAGATTCTGTGGTTAGGAGTCTAGACATGGGTTAGCTAAGTCCTCTGCGCACTCAGGATGGAAGCAAGGTGTTTTCCAGGCTGCAATCTTATCTAGAGCTTGGAGTCTTCTTCCCAGCTCACATGGTTGTGGCAGTTCTTTGTGTTGTAGGACAAGGATGCAAGTTTCCTTGGGGCTGCTCTCAGCTCCAGGAGGCTGTCCACATTTCTTTTCCTGTGGACACTCTACCTTCAAAGACAGCAACAGAGAATCTCCCTCATGTTGTATACCTCTCACACTTCGAATGTCTCTCTAGGAAGAGCTAACTTGATTTTGAGTCAAGGATTCTCATATCTTTCCCTGGTCTAAAGACAAAACTGGTTTGTGTGTTTACAGGCAGTAAATATACTTAAGAAAAGTATGTTACAAGTGCGGTTGACGGGGAAACACCAACAACAGATTTTACTTACTTTACAACTTGGCTGAGAGTTAGGCCCAATTCCAACCTTCCCTGCGTGCCCCTCATTCTTTCTTGGCATCCCACCAGCCAGTGTCTGACCCTCACCCAGTGTAGCCCCACTGAAGGAAGGCCAAAGTCCAGCCTGAATCAAGCCCCTCGCTTTGCTTCCTGGACCACCTCCATTGGCTTGAGTGGCCTTATGCAACCCTTTGAGCATTCGCCGTGCTCCAAATTAGGGGGAACAAGTGCAATCAGAAGAGGTGGCTTGAGAAGCTAGGGTTTTTCCCACCAGCTTATGATTTATTTACAAGCTTCATTAGTTGGTGCTTCTGTTCTATAGAACTCCTCACACAAACAACCTTCAAGATGGACATTTTACGTCACTGTCTTTGACAATTAGAGTGAGGGAAAACAACAGGAGAGGGAACAAGTAGAGAAAACTGGATGGCAGTGAGAGAAGGCTTACAAATGCTGCCTTATATTTGTATAAAGCTTCATAGCCGTTTCCAAAGACTGGCCCCTGTGGGCTGGATCCAGCCAGCAGATGTGTTTTGTTTAGGCCATAGAGTGTTAAGTGTTCTGAAAACCAAGAAATTACACATGCAAATAGATTCCCTGCTTTTCTTTTTACAAAAGGAGCAGGGGGCCGGGGGAGGGCTATCTAAGAGTGGCCCTGCATTCTTACATGGCAACAGTTCTGCTTGAGCAGAATAGTTAGTGTCCCCTTTAAAAGGGCCTGCTTTCTTCTCTGTACTGAGGTTTCCACCATTTCTAATCCAGTTCTTCTGACCAGTGCCACTCATTTTCACTACCTTCCTGGTCCTGCAAGCATTTGATTCAGTCTCAGCATTATCCTATGTCCCAATGCCAGGAGGCATGATTCCTTGGATTCATCATTATGGTCTGGGCTCTGCAGAGGATGTGAAACCTTGGTGCTGGCGTGCAGCCAGTTTCCTGTTTACTGGGGCTTCTCTGTGTCCCTGACACTGGGCTTTTTTTTCTCATGAGGTAAGAGAAGTGGTTGGGAATAAGGAATGGGAATGATCGAAGAGCAAGCAGACAGACAGAAGACAGAAGATTGTGGGGTTATGAATAAGCTGCAAGTGATGTCTGTTTTAGGGTTTGTGTAAGGAAGTCACTGCTCCTGATAAGCAGAAGAAACATGAAAAGGCATGTGTTCTTTTAGAGTCATAGATGCACTTATTGGATATATAACCTTGACACATACCTCTTCTTTGAGCCTCAGTTTGTGTACCTTTTAAATGGGAATCAGACATGTAATGTACTTGTGAGGACTTGAAATAGTATGTGTGAAACATCCCAGTGATAGTAGGCACACAGTACATGAATGCTGTGTTAGTCGCTCAGTCGTGCCCGACTCTTTGCGACCCCATGGGCTGTAGCCCACCAGGCTCCTCTGTCCATGAGATTTTGCAGGCAAGGATACGGCAGTGGGTTGCCATTTCCTTCTCCAGGGGATCTTCCCGACCCAGGGATCGAACCTGGGTCTCCTGCACTGCAGGCAGATTCTTTACCGACTGAGCTACAAGGGCTAAGTTGCCTCAAAATATTTTTGATTAATGAGAATGGGCATGAAATGAAAGGAGAAAATGCCAAGTGTCATTCTTGTTAGAGAGCTCAGTCTTGTTGTTTGGGAGGGAGTAGGCCTGGGGAGATGAGGCATGCCACAGTTGTTCCCACGTGTCCCCTGTCACTTCCTTTTCCCCACCCCTTTCATTCTTTGGAGCCTGCAGTATCCCCTGTGACTACTTCAAGGCTCAGGGTCTGTTTTGCTGTCATTTAGCCATCGGCGCCAGCAGACCTGACTGGAGAGAGCTGGATGACGAGCTCATGAAACAGGCTGTGCTGTATGTGGATTCCCAGGAGGCCGCCCTGAAAGAGTCTGGAGATGTCCTCTTGTCAGGGGTGAGCCATCTTTCTGTTGCTGATGTCTGACTGTCCTCACCTGGATCCCCGGGTTTCATTAATAGCCCCTTCTGTCTGGCCTGCTGCAGATCTCTGTAACTCCCACCTCTTTTGGGGGTTATAACTCTCAAATATCTTTCCATCCTTTCTAATTCCCTTCTAGAATAATGTGGCCATTGTGTGGTGACATGTGTTTTCCTGTTCCCTTTGCCTTAAGAGATCAGCTTGATGGCCTTTTTCATTGGATTGGGCTGTCCTGTAAAGCAATAGGATTGGAAGATAGGAGCCTCTGGAAACTTTCCCAGTATGGCCAACAAATCAGGACTAGTGTTGACCGCTTTCTGACCTTTTTTCATAACCAGGGCATAGCAGTAAGAAGGGGGCTGCCAAAATGAGTGTTCAGATAAGAACAAGCCTGTTTCTTCACTGATACAGTGTCCTGGCTGGACATTCCCCTGGCTGCAGATTTGTATTTCTGCAATCATGGTATCACAAAAGCAGATGTACCCACATCTCATCCCCAGAAAAAGATTTAAGAGAGAGGCATCCTCCCTGACATCATTCCGTTTACAGAAGGTCATTTTATCAAGTTATCCTTTATCCAGGTCAGGGACACCCTGTCCTGGCTTCAGAAGCTAGTCCTGAGCCATATTAGCTCCATGACCTGGGTCAGTGTGTTCCTTTGACAGGCTGAGATCTTCGCTGAGCTGGGAGAAGTGGTGAAGGGAGTGAAACCAGCCCACTGTGAGAAGACTACCGTGTTCAAGTCTCTGGGTAAGTCATTGCTCCCAGGGCACAAACTTAACCAAAACACAAGGTAGGTTTACCCATTGGTGGGAAGAGGAATGAGTCAGCAGTCTCCGTAACTGAATCATTGTGCAGTCTATCACTTAGGTAAATCATTTACGTCTTGGCCTAGTGGTGAAGCCCGTGAACTCTGGAACTGGGCAGTCCTGGGTTGGCTTCCCCGCTATGCTATTCCTTGGACATGCATCCTTGGGCAAGTGATCTCACCTCTTTGAGTTACAGTTTTCTCACCACCTGTTACCTAGAGTTTTTGTGAGAATTAAGTGAGATGTGTGTATAAAATGATTTGCCCATAACAAGCATCAGCATTAAAACATTTAGACTTTGATCTAAATGAAACTCAGAGGAAGATATCCTTCAAAGGTGGAAGGGCAGGAGAAAAAGGTGTTTAAAAACAGGGAGTTTAAGAGAAATAACAGGGAGACCCAACCTGCGGGCAACCCAGACAGGAAGTACAGCCTGACCTTTTTTCCCTCTCCTTCCCTTTCTGTTTGCTGATTTAAGAAGGTCTTCAATGGAGAGCCCCATTACCACTCTGAGTTAGCACAGGCAGAAGCCCATCAAAGAAGGGGCTCCTTTCTTTGGCTGGTTTGCCTCTCAGCCCAGCTCTCCCATTTTAAGGAAATGGACACATATGGTAACAGAGCTAATATTCAGATCCTACATCTAAAATATTGAAGTACTCTCAAAATAGTTGGGAAATAGTTGCTGCTTGAGCCCCTCAACCTTGCCAGACCTTACATATTTTTTAATGATCAAGCAACCAAAGCGCTATTGCTTGGCAGAGTATTAAGAGTACTCTGCCCACCCAGCACCAATGCCAAAGTGTATCTATGCCTTACCATCTGTTAAATATATATTTTAATTTTTCATGCATAGAAAAACAGGCAAACACAGTATAAGCTTTATTTAGAGCCTGGTTCAGAGACATCACACTGATCTAGTTGAGTCTGAAAGAGTTTCATTGTTCCTTAGCAGATCAGAGGTCAGCTGGCCCCCTTCAGGAGACACAGCCCTGGAAACCTGATCTACACTCCTGAGCAATTTTTACTTTCTCACTTTTGGGGTTGGTTTACTGGCACATCCCTTCATCTAGCAGATGTATATTAAATACCTACCATGTATCAAGCTCCATACTGTGTACAGTAGTAGTTACAAAAATAAAAGCCAGCCCCTGGCCTTTAAGAACATATTCCCATTCCAGGTTAAGGATATTTGCCCAAAACTCTAAGATAAAGGAGGAATTGCTAAAGGACTTAGGGTTTGGACTAGACCGAAGGTCCTACAAACTACACAGTATGGGCCAAACCCAACCTACCATCTGTTTTCATACAGCCCACAATGAAATGGTTTCTACATTTTCAAATGATTGGAGGGGGGAGTAATATTTCATGACACATAAAAATTACAAGAAATTCAAACTAAAGTGTCCATAAGGAAAGTTTTCTTGGAGCACAGTTAGACTCATCTGTTTACCTGATGTCTAAAGCCACACTTGTACCACAGCAGAGGTAAGTAACTGCAAGTAACTGGCATGCAAAGTCTTAAATATTTATTATCTGGATGTTTACCGAAAGTTTTCTGACCCCTGAACTTTGGTGAGCATTGCTTGCCTTGTTTTACCCTTCACAGACTCTTCAAGCCTGAACTCACCTCTGGGTGGTGAGCCCTTGTTACCCTGGTGGACACTGTATTAGGGAACGGCCAGTTCTGGGACCTGGGCTGTTTGGGGAAAAGTTGTTCTGACAAAAGTTAAACCAAATTTCTGTCCATTCCAGGAATGGCGGTGGAAGACATGGTTGCAGCCAAACTAGTATATGATTCCTGGTCATCTGGTAAATAAGTGGATGCTACAACTCAAAGGGTGTTAACACTAGTTGTCTCACAATCTTTTCATAATCTCTAGATTAAAAGAAGGGTTCTAGCCCAGTGATCTGTAGTTTTATGCATACTGTGTCTTACCTTAAACAATGAGATCCTCTTTTGTGTTTGTAGTTAGAAAACAAAATTAAGTGGCCGTTCTGTGTCATACCAGATTATACTAGCGCTCCCTTTGCCCTGTATTTCACTGCCTTTTGTAATTCCCTGAAATAAAGCTTTTTCCACTTCTGCAGTTCTTGTTTTGGTAACCTCCATCCTTCACAGCAAGGGAAGTGAGGGGATCAAGTGCTCGTGTTCACTCCCTGAAGGCTCGCCAATTGCTGTAGCTAATTTTTTTCTATTTTATTAATTGAGATACAATTTACATACCATAAAGTCCACATTTTGAAGTGGTGGATATAATTCAGTGTTATCAGTATATTCACAGTGTCATGCAACCATCACCGCTAATTTCAGAACATTTTCATCACTTCAAAAAGAAACCCAGCACCCATTAGCAGTCGCTTCCCAGTCGTCTCAGCTTCTGGCAACCTACTAATCTACTTTCTGCTTTTGTGGATTTGCCTTTTCTGAACTTTTGTATACATGGAATCATATATCATGTAGTCTTTTGCTTCCGGCTTCTTATTATTGAGATTTCAAGCAACACAGAGCTTTCTCTATTGCTCAGAACTCCTTTGGTCACAATCGACAGAGAACACAACTCAAACTACCTTAAATTGAATGAATGAGTGAGGGATGGAATTTATTGGCTCTTGTAATTAAGAAGTATACAGGTAACTGATTTCAGCTATAGCCGCATCCAGGGGTTCCAGTTGTTATCAGGATCAGGACCTAGTCTTGCTCCTCTGTTCCTTGCCTCTGTTTTCTTCAGTGTGGGCTCCATTATCAAGCAAGCTCTCCCCTGATAGTGGCAGGATAGGTACCAACAGTTCTTGAAGCATAGCCTGTCCTCTTCAGCAATCCTAGCAGAAATAGACATTCTCTTCCTTAACAGTTGAAAGTCTCAGAATGGAGACACACTGGACCATCTAGGGCCTATGCCCATATGCATGACATAGTGGCTAAAGGAAATGAAATACTCTGGCCAGGTCAGATCCAGGTGACTATCATCACCTGGGGGATCTGCTTCCCCTATTATCCAGGCCTGGGTCACATGCCCCCACCTTGAATTCAGCAGTACAATCAGCCCATCTGACCACATAAGCTGACAAAAGGAAAGGAGTCTTTTACCAAAAGAGGGCTGTATACCAAGTGGCAAAATGTATAGATATCCCCCGCAGTGTCAGTACGGAGAAGGCTGTCGAGAATCATCTAGTCTAGCCTCTTCAGCTTACAGATGGGGAAGCTGAGGTGCAGGGGTGCTTTTCTCAGGTCCCCTGAATCACTAACAGAGCTATGTTGTCCATGTCCTGCCAAAGACCCATTCAAATTCTCCCTCTCCAAGGCTCTCCTAGGCTGGTGCTAAGTCAGCAGAAAGAAAAGCATGTTATTTTGCTTTGTTTTCTTACCCAGATTCCTCCTAGCAGGTCCTCTTCATGCTCTATGTAGCTTAGCCAAACGTTTGTCATGTCAGCCGGGTTGTCTAGCCTTTGCGCTAAAACAAAATACCCACATGATCTACTCTGCACACCCCAAGTGACTATGGAATCTTTGGGGGGATCTTAATGGCCACAATTCTAAGGAATGTGTAAAAGAGGGTATGTGATAATGAGATTACCAAAAGCACCTTAATTCATTCATAGATTTCTTATTTCATTTTTAAGAGTCCCTGCAATAATTCGTGCTAGGCTGCTAACAGAAAAGAAATAGTCCTCACCCCAAAGAGCACAGATAACTCTCTCCAGCTATTTAGAGTTAGGGCAGGAAATGGATCTAGAATATCTTGTGCAATAAGAAGTTTTTTGCCTTTCCAGGTTATTCTTTTCCATTTCACATTGCCCATCCACCTCAAATGCTTGCTTTGTGAACTACCGAGGTCGACAAAAATCCTAGGAATCAACAGACCAGAGTAATCTGCATCCTGCCTCCAGCCTAGGCATCACATCCAGTTGTTTAGCAATGTTTATTGATTATCTGCTGTGTGACAGATCGGCACTTGGTACAAGGGATGTCAGTGAATAAAAGACAGAGAAAATTCCCTGTCCTAAAGGACCTTATGTTGTAGTAGGGCAGAACCTAGCTTCTCTGCTAGGGAAGTGGGCAGAGGAGAATTCCCAGGAGCTAGAACTCTTTAATTTGCCTCCTTTGCGCCTTCATATGTTAAGTTGTTGGTTTTGTTTAGTTACTAAGTCATGTCCAACTCTTTGCAACTCCATGGTCAGTGGCCTACCAGGCTCCTCTGTCCATGGGATTTCCCAGGCAAGAATACTGGAGTAGGTTGCCATTCTCTTCTCCAGGGGATCTTCCCAGCCCAGGGATTGAACTCAGGTCTCCTGTCTTGCAGGCAGATTCTTTACTGTCTGAGCCACAAAGGAAGCCCTCATATATAAGAGCCAAGTAATTTTGTTTGGTTCATACACTTTAAACCAATTTTGCAATAATCACCGATATAGAATTTACCCTTTAAATGGAACAGGAGTTATTCACAGAAAGGTAGATGAACCTATGGAGTCTATAAGCTGGAATACTTTAATGAAAATATAATGCAACCATTTAGGGGGAAAAAATAGCTAACAACCCATGCTGGCCTCACTGTTTTATGTTACTCACTATTACTACATAAAAGGATTATGTTTGCTCCTTCCCTTTTTTAATTCAGCAATTTGATTGAAGTTTTATGTGAGGTTTTAAAATCTACATGTTCTCCAAATTCATATCCCTTTATCTCATCACAGAATTCATGTAAACTCCAATGGAATTGTCCTGGTGAGCGCTTCCAGTCCTGCTGGGCAAACATCCCCTTCCCATATTTCTGAGCAAATTGTTACCTCTCCAGTAGAGCAACATGGAAAAATTCCAATTAGAAACGATCAAATGCCATGAAGCAAGACTAAATCCTATAATGCTGAATTCCAGTAACATTTTTGCTGGCCTATCTTTTCTCATTTTCCCTAAGAGTACTTTTCTATTTCCTATTCTGTCTTCCAAGTACCAAAGCTGGTGTCCAGCTCAAAATTCTTTGTACCACCCCCATGCCACCTTTCATTTGCTATAATACGTCATCAAGCTTTCTATATTATTTTTAACCTCTGACAGTGATATACAAAGCACTGCTGTAAATCCTCATTTTTGTTAACAGTAGAACTCTTCTAGTGGCTTATATTTCTCCTATATCCTAGCAGTGTCTCATCACGTAGATTCTGATGTCTACCTGGAGAGGGGATCCTGGCCTCTACAATAATGAAATCCTAATAGAGAAGGACTCAGACATTACTACTTCTTTTGAATGCCTTCTAAAACTACTGCTTTGGTGTACATTATTCCGTGTACAGTTGCAATTTATTCCAGAACAATGCAATGTGATATTTGTAAACATAATAATCCTGTAGTAAAACATATTCAGTGACTGACAACTTTCAGTCCATTGATTGAAGAAGAATGTGCCAGTTGTTCATCAGATTTAAGCATTTGTATCCTCCATGGTTCCTTCTGAAGTAACACAAACAGCTGTGAATCAGGAAGCATGCTGAAGCTATTTCTATGTTATACATATAATCAGTGGTAAATTCCATTTAATGCATGTCTGGCTATAAAAATCCAGTGAAGCTTAACTATTCAAGCAGGGTTTCATCTTGAATTTGAGATTACCATTGAAATATGAGCAGCAGTGTTAGTGTTGACAGTTTATATTGTAAAACCTACATGTATTCAGATGTGTAGAAATGGTTATAGACAACAGTAAATAAGATATGTATATAATAAGCATACAAAAATTCACCTTTTGCAATTGAATTTTCCCAACAAAGAACCTAGATTTCTTTTTCCTTTTTTAAATTTCAGGAGGCACTTACGCTTAGGAAAAAATCATCTAACCATCTAAAAATCATCTCATCATCTAAAAATCATCTAATCTTCTTTTCTGTATTCTTATTTTCCCCTCCCTGCCTCTCTTGTCTTAAGGAAAATCTTATTCTGCTAGGACTGCCGTAACAAAATACCACAGACTGGGTGGCTTAAAGAACAGAACTTTATTTTCTTATAGCTCTGGAGGCTGGAAGTCCAAGATAAAAGCGATAAAAGGTTTGGTTTCTCCTGAGGCTTCCTTCTGTGGCTTTCAGATAACTGCCTTCTTGCTTTATCTTCACATGGCCTATTCTTTCTCTTCACATGGTGATGCAAGCACATCACCAGTGTGTCTACCTCTTCACAGGATGACTGGAGTTAGAATCCCTAGACTCAAGATCAGAAATTAAGCATATAAATTTTGGAAGGACAAAATTTAATCCATACAGGTACTGTACATTCTATTTCATCTCTCTCTCTACCTGGCATTCTGTCTCTGTTCCCAAGAAGGAATGTTACAGACCCATTTCTATTACTTGTAAACATGTAAACATCTACTGATTGGGGTTAGACACATTCATGTTGGGCATCAAGCCACAGGCCACTGGAGGAATTTTAGTTTCCATCAACAGGTAAAGTCATGGAGCTAAGGATCAGAAATTAGACAGCAGCTAGTGTGATAGGAGTGGAGAAGGAAATGGCCACCCACTCCAGTATTCTTGCCTAGAGACTCCTGTGGACAGAGGAGCCTGATGGGCTGCTGTCCATAGGGTCGCAGTCGGACATGACTGAAGCGACTGATGCATGCGTTGGAGAAGGAAATGGCAACCCACTCTGGTACTCTTGCCTGGAGAATCCCAGGGATGGAGGAGCCTGGTGGGCTGCCATCTATGAGGTCGCACAGGGTTGGACACAACTGAAGCGACTTAGCAGCAGCAGCAGCAGTGTGATAGGAGACTATAATTTTAAGTTCGGAGTTAGGAAATAAAGTCTTTTCTGTTCTCTGTCATCCATTTAATCCTTTCTATATTCAAAAATATCAAAAAGATAATTGAAGAGGTCATTTCCTTATTCCCATTTCTTACCTCCTTGAGTTTCTCACTAGTGGTTTATATGAATTTAGGTACAGAGTATTTCTCAGAGTAGAATTTGGGCTTCTTTCTTAGGTGGACACCTCCAAAACCTTAGAAACCCAGTAGTCTGGTATTGGGTACAGAGTAGGTATTGCCTGGAATATCTCCAGTGGGCCACAGCATCACCCCCACCTCTATAGACTCAGCCTGTTGACCCAACACTCCATCAGAGATTGGTGTCAACCAACTGCCCAGGCTGTTGTAGCACCTGCTTCCTTCTATTTATGGCATTAAGAACTTTCTTCCTGGGACCCAGCTGCATTTGTATGCTCTGAAGGTCCTCATCAGAGCAAAGCAGCAGAGCTTCCAGATCAATCTGTTCTCTCATGAAAATAGGAAGAAATTCTTCCAAGCAGTGGGACTGCAGGAACACTTCCAGGGGAGTAGCATCAACCACATCTTCCTCCCAGTGCACTTCATCCTCATCCCAAGGCAGGTCATCTTCATGGTTGTTTTCCTCTCCCTCTTCATCAGCCTCGGCTTCTCCTTGTCTCTGAAGCAATTCGCTGGGCATTGTAAACCCCAGCTCCCTCCTGCTGTCTGAGATGTCTTCAGGGCTGAATATTCTATTCCTTCCAAAAACAACATTTCCTAGACCTGGACGGTTGAGAATGGATTCGTGTTGCATACAGCTGTCCCCCTCTGCAGATAATTGGAGCTTCTCTATGAAGTCCCCTGAGAATTCGTCTTCCTCATCCTCTCTGAACACTTCCATCACATTCTTCTGCCCACTTCTGCTCCCATCCCCTAACTGCTCTGCTGTATCTTTGTTCTTCTTGAACTTAAGCTTGAGGGTATCTTTAATACTCTTAGACAGTGACCCAAATGTGTTAGAAGCAGAAGCATTCGAAAGGGGTGACCTAGAGAAAGTTCCCTTGGAAGAAGAAAGAGTCCCAGATTCCTCCTTGCTGTATGTGCGGGCCATCTTATTTTGGTGCTTCTCCTGGAGCCTCTCACACTCTTTGATCTGCTTCTTGACATTCTTCTGAGCCTGCTCCTTCTGCCTGGTGACTTTCTTGGGGTTCATGATGTTCTGGGAGGTGGCAGCCTTATCCAGAAGAGCGACACATTCATTCTGCTCTCTGCTGGCAGCAGCATCCAGTGGAGACTGTAAGTCATTGTCCAGAGCAAAGATGTTGGCACCAAAGTTGATCAGGAACGAGACGCAGTGGGCATGACCATTGGAGGCTGCATAATGTAAAGGAGTATTTCCCCAGATGTCACATCTATTAGGATCCCCTCTAGAAGAGAAAATATAAAAAATACATACTAATTTTTTTCTCTGAAGATGAGGTCTAAGAAATAAAAGATTAAAACAAAGAACAAAATGCAAGTTAATCTTGCCTTGACATTGTTACAAGACAACTTTGAAAGTCCAGATATGTCACATTTAGGCATCACATGACCAGAAACAATCCATATCTACCCTGTATCTTGTTTTTAGAAGCCACGAAGCTTTTTAAGAAGCTCCAAAAATGAGTAACTTTCATGTCTCATTGGCCAGAATCAGATCACATCCTAGAAGAAAGGAAATAGAGCTACTTTCTTTATCTGAGATTAATTCAATTTTCCCCTAGATAGGATTACCTCATGCCATGCTGGTAAATGTTAACAACCATCTCATTAAGGGAAAAGAATCAAACACTGATTTATGTAGCATGTGCCAATTTCTGTCCTGTAAATATACCACCACAACACATTTTACGCACTAATATGACATACTGGAAACAGAATTTGGAAAAGAGGCATAGTAGCAGTTGATTATAAATTATTCCCACCACATAGATATTTAATAGATGTGCACAATCTTAAGAGAAAAGATAATATAGTAAAATGTGGTAAAATAATTAGAAAGGAATAAGTTTTGAGTATTTTGATATAATTTATTAAATTTAAGTTTATATAATTTTATTTTTAATAATGAATTGTTTATCTGATTTAGACTTCCTAAAACTTAGCAATCATCTCTCCTGAGTTGATAGAGCTGATTCTGAAACCACATCCTGTACCTTTAAAAGATCAAGGTTCATAAGGTAGAAACAAGATAGAAACAGAAATGATAACATCAAGAACACTAAACCTGTTTCACAAAGTGTCAGGGAAACCACAGATATGGAAACAGCTTGCTGACAGTCCCTCCAACTGAGCATGAGCATCACAGAGACGCCCTGAGGGACTCGAATGATTGATAGTGCACTTTGGATATCACGAGCTGAAAATCCATTACATATTACGTACTGGACCCTCTCACCTCTAAAACTGCACATGTAACCCATGAAGAGGCATGAAGGACTGTCCCGCCTTCACTCTTGAAACTTACATTGAAACTTACACTTACTTTCCATCATTTGTTTCTAAGCAGCCTCCCCCTGTTTTTCCTTACTTCCACAGTAAATACCCCATTCAAAAGCCAATCAAGGAGATAAATCTAAAGCAGCGCCTCTTGTCTCCTTGTTTCCACTCTTCAATAAAGCCTTTTCTCTCTGCAAAGACCATTGCCTTGGTCTTTCCATTGCACGGTGGGCAATAAGCCTGCTTGCTCAGTTACAGTTCCAGCTCAGTTACAGTCTTAGCTAATCTGAGTCATAGGTAAGGAAATAAATAATAACAAAACTGGTTTCCCAACAGCAAGAAAGAAAAGAGGAATGGATGTTGGTCAGGAAGCAGTGTCTAATACAACTAATATTTGTACAAAGGGTCTATTGATTCCTCACTTTACTTTCCCGTAATAACGAGTGGTTTGGGCTTCCATAATGGCTCAGATGTAAAAGAATCTGCCTATAATGCAGGAGACCCTGGCTTGATCCTTGGGTTGGGAAGATCCCCTGGAGAAGGGAATAGCTACCCACTCCAGTATTCTTGCCTGGAGAATTCCATGGACAGAGGAGCCTGGTGGGCTACAGTCCATGGGGTTGCAGAGTTGGACATGACTGAGCAAATAGCACTACAATAGTTTAAGGTAGAATTGGGGGCAGTATTAGATAGCTTTAAGGGTACATGGTAGGTAAAGAAGATTTGTGGAATGAATATCTACTAGAATCCTGCCCCAGACTAAATCCCCACTCCTTGCCCCTCTCCTGTGAGGCCTTAAGTTACAAACAAGCATAAATGAAAAGCAATAACAACTTACTGTTAATTATGGCTCTGACCCTAAGCCACTGTTGAGAACTCTGATAATACAGGTACTAAAGGGCACCTTCCCTTGCCCTAGTCCAGACTCCAAATCAGGATCTCTGCACCCTTTGGCCAGGCTAGCCCCATGGGATGGCAGGAGAGAGAGTCTGAGAAGGTGTCTTAACATTCCTGGTAAGCAGCAGGTGAAACAGGAGAAAAGGTCCATGCCCTTGCAACTGGCATGTTAATGCACTGTGATCTTTCTGTTCCTTACTATTTAAAATCTGGTCCATAGACCAGCAGCAGTAATATCACCTTTAAGTTTGTTGGAAATGCAGAATCTTGGACCTCATCCCAGACTTCCTGAATCAGAATCTGAAGTTTAACAAGAGCCCCAGGTTAAGTTCACTGCAGGTTAAGACCTGCACTAGTTAAGGTGACCCAACCAGTGTCCTATACTTTAGTGAATCAAATTTGTATTATAATTCCTCCATGGGAAATTTTGGTTTCTTCATGCTTTTTTGTTATAAAGCACTTACACATTCACTGCCCCCACAACCACTACCACAAATAACAATCTTTCTCTTAAAAAAGAAAGAGGAGAACAACTCTCAGAGGGGTGAATAAGACCAAGCACTCAATTGATTTGCCCACCAGTTCAACAAGTACGCTTTGGCTCAGGCCTGCCTCCATGTCACATGGTCTCCAACACAATGTGGTCTTACCTTAACTCACCTCAGCTTTACCTTTTACCTGCAATGAGGCCTCAAGTTCAACTTTTCTAGGACTCATTGTCCTTGTCTATAAATTGAGGATAATATTACCTACTCATAGAACTATAATGTGAATAAAGTCAACATACATAAAGCATTAGAAAAGTGCTTGGTACATAGTGAATACTCAATAAATTTTACCTGTTATCATTTCCCTTGACTCTAAACTCAAAATACTTAATTTCATATATTTTTTTCTTGTACCCATCTGGTAAATTCCTGCGACACTACAATAACCTGTCTGGCCTTTCAACACTTATAATCTTAAATCATCAAATACACCCTGCCCCATTTAGATAATATGTCTCAGAGGGCAATATGTCTTTTGTCCTTTGTATGGTATCTTCTATATCTCCTAGCAGATGTCTCAAACACAACCTAAAGAAGCCAAGATGTGATGTAACTAACTTAATGGGGCCACTTTTTTTTTTTCAACAAAGTCATAGTTAAGTTTAAGCTCCATCTAAAAGAACAGGCATTGTTCAGCTGTGGCTAATTGCTCTCCTGAATAAAAGCAGACACGATATTGCCAGAGTTTCCATTTTCCAAACAAAACCAGAAATCCAGAATCTCAGGTGAAGCTTTTTGATTTTTAAGTGTTGGCTTAAATTTAAGAGAAAATTACAGTGAGGTCCAAATTAAACATGCTTGTGGGCTAGATCCAGCCATAAGGTGACAGTTGGCAACTTCCTTCTGAAGAGAGAGAACAGTGAGTGTAAGCAGATGCACATATAGGTGAGATTACTTATTTGGGATACCAGGAATATACTCAGTGTGGCCAGAGATAGAGGAAGGGAAATAAGTTCAAAGAGGAAGGAAAGAAAATAAAACTGAATCTAAGGAAAGCAAGTATTAAATAACATGGTTCTGTTGCACAACCGTTTTCAAAAGAGGTCTAGTCAGTCTGCCTGATTTAGTTGTCTTGGGTCAAAGGAGACCTCTTTCAACCTTAAAACAGTTGTGCATCTTAGGGAAGCACAGTAGCCTCAAAGATGGCGTTTCACTTTTTATTTATTTTAACTAAACACCACGTTCAAAAGACTTCAAAGAGAGGTTGTAAAACATCTAAGACATTACTGCAAATATAAACATATGGATTAAATTTGCCTGACATTAGATTGGGTAAGTTAAAAAAGAAATTATTGAGAGGAGTGAGTTTGGGTGAGGATGTTACAAGTATTAAGAGGTTGGATTAAATCCACATGCTTCAGGTCATAAAACAGTGGAATTTTCCCCACCCAAGGGAACTTAAATGATCCTTCAAAAATAGGAAGAACATGAAGAAAACCTGAGGTGACCCTTAAAGATTGTTCCTCTCCTAAGAAACACAAAATTCCAAATTTAAAGATGAAACTGTCAGTAAGCTGATTCATGAATTGCCCTGGAACATTTAAGCTATTTCCACTTGTAGAAATTCTATTTACAGACAACCTTCAAAATTGATGTACTACTTAAATTAAAATTTTTTCTATTGACAGTTTGGGGATTCTTCTTAATTCTGTCTTTCAATCTCTGGTGTCTTTCACATTTTTTGATAGAACCATTACACATTCCTGTCCAGATATTCAAAAACTCATTCCCCTCATTTGTTGATCTGAATCCAATATTGATGCCATATTGTTTCTGTGGTCTAAATTCGTAAAATTTTTGTTTGATTTTTTTCTATCCTTTTTTTTCCCAAAAGAGAAACTCAATGAAAAGATTTTAAGTAATCATACTTTGCCCTTGCTTTTAGGTAGATTAGTACATTTTGGAAATAATTTATATTATAGTTGCAAAATAGGCAATTTTCTTATATTAAATTACTCTGAGCATCTGTTCCATTTCAGTTTCTCCATTTGAAGTTGATCTGATTTTTTCTGGAGTTGTTCTCAGAAGAAAAATCACTTTTTCAAAAAATGTTTTTCTACGTAAGAAGGAATATTTAGACTCATTAGTAATCAAATAAATACAATTGAAAGTAATACACCACCATCTATTTGCCTATCAGATAGGCAACAAATAAAGAGAATAATAATACTCAGTTTTGGCAGGCGTGTGAGGAAATGAAGAATGCTGGAGGAAGCATAGAGTGGTTCAAATTTCCTAGCATAGTATGTGCCAAAAGACTGTAAAACATAGTGCTCCTTTGAATCAACAATTCTGCTTTAAGGAATTTATCCTGAGGAAATATCAGACACTTGTGCAAAGATGCGTGATCAAGGATGCTTATTCCATCTTATACAAAAACTGGGTTCAAATTAAATGTCATGAGCAAATAACTGATTAAATAAATTTGTAATGAAACTATAAAGCAGGATACTATATAGCCACTGAAAATAATGTCATGAATCTCTCCTTTTAACTGCAGACTGTCAATATTGTATTATTAAATAATTAGAAGTATAATCCAGAAGAGTTTGTATACTGTGATTGCCTTTTTAAGGGCTGAACATAGGTACATTTAAGTGTATGTTCTTAAAGGGAAACATCTGAAGGAATATATACCCAAACATTAATGACTGTGAGAATTCATGTGATTTTTGCTTTATTAAGTATATTTTTCAATATGACATGAAATGTTACAAGAAGTTTGTATTTCTTTGAGAATCAGAAAGGAAAAAAATTATTTTCATTTTAGAAAATAGAACAAAAATACTTTAAAAAAAACCCTTGCATGTTTTAAAAGCAAAATTAAATTCTGTATAACTGAGGCCATCTTCCCAATGTAAGACAGGTAATTATTGCTTTCCATCTTTAAAAGTAAAATAGGAAGAAAAACAGTTTTTAACAAAGCCAGAGTTTGGATATTATTGTTTGCCACATGATCCATAGTTCAATCAGGTAGTGACAGAAAGACACTAAAATCATCAGACTGCAGTAGACCTCAATAAGTGATTTACATCTAAATTCAATTTTTGATTGGTTTTACTTTTTAGCCCCCTTAAATGTAATGGGCATTTTGTTCTCACACAAGTACTTAAAGATTGGCTATGATCAAAATCTGCCTGCAATGCAGAAGACCCAGTTTTGATCCCTCAGTTGGGAAGATTCCCCTGGAGAAGGAAATGGCAACTCACTCCAGTATTCTCGCCTGGAGAATTCTAGGGACACAGGAGCCTGGTCGGTTACAGCCTATGGGGTAGCAAAAAGTCAGACACAACCGAGTGAATAGCACACACACGCAATGATCAAAATAGGTGGTGACCTGTGAAAACGCTTATAAGACATTTTCATAAGTTTATACCAAGCCAACTTAACAGATCTTAAATGCTCCTGGAGAGAAGGAAAAAAATCTGGGATGTATTAGAACTGATCCAGAAGACAAGAGTTGAGAAGGAAGGACTAATCAGGGTTAGAATGTTGATGTTCATAATCAGTTTTTAATAAATATCAAACAATTACATTGAGAGAAATTACCATGCCAAATAAATACATAAAGAGTGGATTATATGACAAAATGCTTAGGGACAAATGACTAGCCACTTGGAGAAAACATAGTTAGATCACAATCTCAAATCTTAAATCAAAGAAATAAAATATGAGTTATTTAAAATAAAAAAACTAAAGTACTAAAGAAAATATCTGTCAATATTTAGGCATGACCTCAAAGTTGGAATTACACAGTAAAATTGATAGAGTTAAGTACATAAATATATATATTTAAATTTATATTTTCACTGATATTAAATAGCTGATGTCAAAAATATGAATTATGATTTGTGAAAATATTTGGAAATACAGTGACAAAAGGCTGATATTCTAACTTTAAAAAAATCAATGAGAAATGTTGAAGACTCCGATATGTAAGTAGGACAAGGTTATAAATACTTAGCTGACAAAAGTGGAAATACAATGACTTCAAAATATAAAAAAATTTTCAACCCTGCCAGTAACCAAAGAACATTAAAGGCACATTGATATATCATTTCAAACCTACAATATTGACAGAAACAGGTGCTCACTTTCTGAAGAGCAATTTGTCAATAGACACCAAAAAAGTCTTTAAATGGTATATGTGCCAACTGATCCAGAAATTTCACTTTGAAGAATTTGTTCTCAAGAAAACATGAGTAAAGATTTATGTACAAGGATAATTATCACAGCATTATTTAAACCATGGGAAACAAGTTATTTGTTCAAAAGAGAGATTGACTAAAAAATGTATTTATATACTTATAAATATTATAAATATACTTATATATATTTATATATATTAACTAGAATACTAAGAAGTTCCTGAAAATTAAACTGTAAAAGAATATATGCTGACATGGAAAAAATGTTTATGATATATTGAGTCATAAAAAAAAAAACTGCATACCACACAAAAAGTGTTTACTTAGTATACTATTTCATGTATATGTACAAATAGGCATGTATAATTATTTATATATAATATATATGTTTTAATATATGTGTGCATATATTTGTAGGTTCTATATATATTTTATACATACACAATATATATGACATAACAGGGTATTTTATTCTTTATAATCTGTGTGCATATATATAGTTTAATTTGGGGAGCTTAGTTGATGTTAATTTTGTCATAAGTAAAGACCAGTAGAACAATTTGTATAAGAAAATGTTTCAGGCTTACAAAGAGAGAGAGCATAGGAGAACATCTAGGCCCTCTCATTTAAATTGGACCTTAAAATGGGAAAGGGTTTTCAGCCCTGGTTGTGAAATGGTAACTGACCTGTTGCACTTCCTCCAGAGGTTATATACTTTGAGTAGGTGAAGAAAGTTTGGGAGAAGAGGAAAGATGATACAGTGTTACAATATGAAAGAGCTTGGCTGAAAGGGTCGGGGTAGAGGGTGATGTCTGGAAAACCTGGAATATGGAGGTTAAAAGGAATGGAGTACATCAACTCCACTTACTTCCTCATTTAGTCTTCAACTCAGGAATTCTCTCCACCTTTGGTTCTTCTAACTCCTTAAAGTACCTCTCACTTCAATAAAGGATGCCAACATCCAACATCCTGTCAAAGCTCAAACTTGATCCTCCTCTTCCTTCTACCCACTCAACGTTCAGTCAATTATAATCAATTCCACATCCAAATTGCCATCCATCCACATCTCTCTGTTCCCACTGCCACTTTCCTAATCCAGTTCGCCCCTCATCTCAACCATTAAAACAGTCCCTGAACATTTTCTTTAACTGCTATACAACCACCTGAGGAAAATTTTGTAAACAAAAAGTTACCAGGTGGCTCCCCTGCACAAACTCACCACAGTGCCTTTCCATGTCCTTTGGGAAAAGTTCAATTCCTTAAAAGAGTCTACAAGACTCATGTGTCTGGTCTCCTCGCTTACAACTTGGCCTCTCCCCACTCAAGCCATATCTAGCCATACTTGACCTCTTCAGTGCCTAGAATACAGTACTCTTCCTCAGGAGAAACACTCTTCCTTCCACCTTCATCTGGCCAACTCCTTATCATTCAAACTCCATTTTAGATGCTCAAGAAAGCCTTCCCTCACTACCTAGATTGGGATACCTGTCTTATTTATTTAGTGTTCTCTCTTTATCCCTTTATAACACATTCATGACATTTCCTCTCTCAAATCTGATCACCATTTGAAGATGGAAAGAATCATATTTCTCTTGTTGATCTAGCAAAATGCTGACACAGAGCAGATATAGGTATTAATAAATACATATGTTATATATTAATATGTATAAATTCACTTGTCTCCTTTACTCACATTTTCTTTTTTTCTTTCTTTAGTCTACTTGGAGTTATAGTTGTCAATGGTGACTAGCCCCTCCAGCAACAAGTAGAAGATAGGAGCTAGCTAATTTCTGCTTTAGAATTTGAAGGGAGAGTATATGTACATGTATGTATTTGACAGCCAGAGTGGTAATTAAGATAGGTTGAAGTTCCCTTTTATAGCTTATAAAGCCAGAAATTTCATCTAAGAACCATGACCTTGCACTTGGATTGACTCTTTTTTTTAAGGCTATGGGATTTTAATGGCACAGATGAAAAAAAAAAAAACACACATCATTTGTTCTAAGTATACTTGACATCTTAAAACCAGGTAGATCACTGATCTTTTTTAAAGAGTCTAGCATTTACATGTCATGGAAAGGAGTTTTAAAGCTACAGAATTCAAATATCTTACCCTGAAGGGAAATAATGGTGACTTAGAGTTCAGGATTTCTGTGTGTTTGGCTCATAAGGGATCGGCCACCCCATGGTGCCAATTCTCAGGGTGGAAAGAGAATATCGCTGGGAAATTTTCTCATTTCCTCTAAACAGACAGTTTTTACACAGACTAGAATGAGAGCAAAGTATTTTCACTAATTCCCTGCCTTTGCTCCTCTCTGCAAAATCCTCCCATAAACAGTTTCCAGTCAAAACCATTGGGTTGAACTTACCCTCTGCTGCAGATTATTTCTAGGGCTTCCAAGTTCCCATGATAGGCTGCTAGGAGTGTGGGAGTCATGCCATCTTCATCAGAAAGATTCAGATCTCTCTTGGTAGCCTCCTTCAGAAGTTCCAGGTAGCTATCACTAGCAGCTTGGTGATAGCGAGTGGACATTTTTCTGCTCTCCAAAGCTTTGCCAAGTATCACTCTCCAGGCGGAACAGGATGTCAGTGAAGCAGCCTTCCTACAAAGCTGGTTAATCAGTGACAAGGAACAGTGTCAGCCCAGGGCAAAGCTCACTCCAGCCTCCCTCCATGGAAAGCAGCCAGAAAAATTCACAGCACTGAACTTAGACCTTTTCTCTCTGGAATGACCATGACATTGAAAATTGAAGACTGCTGTGTTCATCTTGAATGTCTTAAAAGAGACACGTATTTCTTGTCTCTTAACAAGTTTTGAATATAATATTGGTCATCTAGGCACAGAATGAAGAAAATAATTTCAAACCAACTCAGAACTAGGCTAGCTCATTGGAGTGGTCCATTTTTTCTAAAGTGCTATATTGGGGTATAATTTACATATTATGAAATTCATCCATTTAAAGTGCAAAATTCAATGATTGTTACCAAATTTTGAGTTGTGTAACTGTCATCGTGAAACCAAGCAGGCCCCTGTAGGAACTTCCTAGAGACAGACCCTCTCCTTACCAGTCTATTACCTCTTGTTTGTAGAAAAGCTGTAGCTTTCTAGGCCTTTCCAAGTTCTAAAGAGCAAATTTAATCAGAGAAGAAAGAAAAGGTAGAAACAAAGAAAAAGTCAAGCAAAACAAAATAATAATTGTTTAGCCATAAAACAAAGTTAAGGGCATTTAGTTCCTCCTTAATGCTTATAGATAATATCCTAAACAACATGCTTGAGCTATTTTGCAGACACTAAACCCCACACCAGGTCAAAAAAGTTAACTGCATGCTGACCATCAACACATAGACTCCAAACCAGTTGGAACCAGAAGGTTGATGATTGAGATTTTCAAAATATCACCCTGTTACTTTACCATCAACCAATCAAGAACTGTGGATGAGCTGGTCACAAAACCTGTGACACTTTCCCACACACTGTCTTTAAAAACCCTTCCCTGAAAGCCACTGGTGAGTTTGGGTCTTTCAAGTAAAAGCTTTTGCTTGGCACCCTGCAATAAATGCTGCATATTCCTTCACCACAACCTAGTATCAGTAGATTGGCTTTGTCACACAGACAGTGAGCAAACCCAACTTCTGTTTGGTAACAACCATAATCCAGTTTTATAACATATCTGTAACCCCTGAAATATCCCTAATGCTAATTTGTAATCACTCCTCTTTCCCACTCCCAGCCTCAGGAAATCACAAATCTGTTTTCTATCTCTACAGATTTGCTATTGGTAGGTATTTCACGTAAATGGAATCATACAATGTATAGCCTTTTGTAGCTTCACCTAAATTTTTGAGATGTATGCATTTTACAGCATGTAACATTATTTCCTTCCCTTTTATTTCTGAATAATATTCTACTATACTAATACACCAAATTTTTTTTATTCTTTCAACAGTTGATAGACACTCAAACTGTTTCCACATTTTGTTTTTATGAATACTGCTACCATGAATATACAAGTTTTTATGTGGACATATACTTTCACATATCTAAGGTATAAATCAACAAATGAAATTGCTCAATTATATGGCAATTTATATTTAACTTTTTAAGAAATTGACAAATTGTTTTCCAAAGTGACTGTATAGATTTTCATTTCCATTAGCAATGTATGAAACTGTTCAGTTCAGTCACTCAGTCATGTCCGACTCTTTGTGACCCCATAGACTGCAGCATATCAGGATTCCCTGTCCATCACCATCTCCTGGAGCTTGCTCAAACTCATGTCCATGAAGTCAGTGATGCCATCCAACCATCTCATCCTCTGTCATCCCTTTCTCCTCCTGCCTTCAATCTTTCCCAGCATCAGGGTCTTTTCCAATGAGTCAGTTCTTTACCTCAGGTGGCCAAAGTATTAGAGCTACGGCTTCAGCATCAGTCCTTCCGATGAATATTCAGGACTGATTTCTTTTACAATGGACTGGTTTGATCTTGCAATCCAAGGGACTCTCAAGAGTCTTCTTCAACATCCCAGTTCAAAAGCATCAATTCTTCGGCACTCAGCTTTCTTTATAGTCCAACTCTCACATCCATAAATGACTACTGGAAAAACCATAGCTTTGACTATGCAGACATTTGTCGGCAAAGTATGTCTCTGCTTTTCAATATGCTGTTGAGGTTGGTCATAGTTTTTATTTCAAGGAGCAGGTATCTTTTAATTTCATGGCTGCAGTCACCATCTGCAGTGATTTTGGAGCCCCCAAAAATAAAGTCTATCACTGTTTTCATTGTTTCCCCACCTATCTGCCATGAAGTGATGGGACTGGATGCCATGATCTTAGTTTTTTGAATGTTGAGTTTTAAGACAGCTTTTTCACTCTCCTCTTTCACCTTCATCAAGAGCCTTTTTAGTTCCTATTTGCTTTCTGCCATAAGGGTGGTGTCATCTGCATGTCTGAGGTTATTGTTATTTCTCCTAGCAATCTTGATCCCAGCTTGTGCTTCATCCAGCCTGGCATTTTGCATGATGTACTCTGCATATAAGTTAAATAAGCAGGGTGACAATATACAGCCTTGACGTAGTCCTTTTCCTATTTGGAATCAGTCTGCTGTTCCATGTTTGGTTCTATCTATTGCTTCTTGACCTGCATGTAGATTTCTCAGGAGGAGGTAAGGTGGTCTGGTATTCCCATCTCTTGAAGAATTTCCCACAATTTACTGTGATCTACACAGCCAAAGGCTTTGGTGTGTGAGACTGTTAGGGAAATTGAAATGGAGAAAGTCTTGTTCAGTCTTCAGAAGCAGGAGAGCAGGCTTCTGGCCTTGCTGCTGACCTGCCGGTACACTACCCAGACTCCATGCCTGCCTGCAAGCACGGAAAGTCAGGCAGCGCTTCAGATGAGAAAGTAAGTGGCTCTTGGAATTCTTGAGCCACTGGAGGTCTGGCCAACCACTTGGGGTCTAAAGAAACCCTTTGACTCACAAGATAAATAACACCGTAAAAAGGTTAAAGTAAAACAGGAACTGCATTTTAGTGTACAAACTGATGATGATATCAGTTTGCAACCTGGGATTATAAGCTGGAGCCCCTGAAAATGCAATCTGAAGTCTCACCAGTGGAGTGGATACACTGCCCAGGGTCATTTCCTAACTAGGACTCCACACTGCTATTTACGAGGGACTTCCCAGTGCTGTTTAATTCTGGATGTTGGTCTGTGCAATTTGGTGATGTATGTGCTGTTAATTCTTTCTATTGTTTCTATTTCTTTTATTTTAATGACTGTATATTTGAAGTTAAGTCAAATAATCTTCAACAAAAATTCAAATTGTTCATTTGTGTGTAATGAGTGGTTTCTTTTGTTAACAAATTCTTTGACTCTAAAATGAAAGTAAAACTTTTGGCAAAACAGGCTTCAGACTTTTTCATATCCTTGCAGCCTTTATTATTTGCCTTTTCATTTAAAGTTATCTTAGTGGGTATTTAAATATCCACTGTTTAAATTAAACACTGTTGTTTAAATATCTTTTTCCTAATGAGTAACAATGTTGATATTGTTTTAAGTGCTTATTAGCTATTCTTACATTTTGTCTTTAAAAATTTTGTTTATTAGTTTGTCTTATTATTATTGAATTATGAGTTCTTTATATGTCCTAGATAAAAATCCTTTATCAGATATAGTTTGAACTTAATGAAAATGAAAACAAACATTTCAAAATTTACAGGACACAATTAAAACAGAACTGGGGGAATTTTGCAGTTTTTAATGCTTATGTTACTAATAGAAAAGAAGAAAAATCTCAAATCATTAACTTAAACTTTTGCCTTATGGAAAGAAGGGAAAGAACAGAAAAATTAGTGTAAATAAATAACACAATATAAAACCAAAACATGGTTCAAATTTATCTGTAATCAAAGTAAATGTAAACAGACCAAATTCACCAGTTAGAAGACTCAGCCATGTCTTATTTGTAATAGACACACTTAAAATATAAAATTGAAAAAAAAAAATGAAAGCAAAAAAGGAAAAGTTATATCAAGAAAATACTAACAACAAATTGGTGTAGCTATATTTGTATCAGACAAAAATGTAGTTTAAGCCAAACAATTACCAAGGATAAAGAGATAGTGACGAAAGGAAAAATTTATCAAGAAAATATGATAGTTCATACTAAACTTGGTATGTACCAAGTAATATAGCCTCAAAATAGAAAAAAACAAATATTAATAGAATTTAAAGAGAAAGAACAAATCTGCTATCATAGCAAGAGATTTTAAACACACTCCCTTAATATTATATATCAATCAGACTAAAGATTAGGAAAGGTATAAAAAATTTGAATACAATTAAAAAGTTTTATCTAACAACCCTATATAGAACACTGTATTCAATAGAAAATGCATGTTCTTTAAAAGCACACTAAGAATATTTGTAACATTCTGTTACATAAATAGAACCTAATAGAACCCATGCAGGCCTCAACAAACATCAAATAGTAGGTTTCATGTAGATCATATTCTCTGAAAACATTGCAATAAAATTAGAACCCATCATCCTTATACAATTGATTAACTGTTTATATGTTTTTTGTGATATAAACTTTGCATCATTGTCATCATCTTGCATTGTATTTTTTCCTCTCTTTAATGCACTATAAATATTTCCCACATTGTTACAAAATAGCTAATATGCTGGTAATAGTTCGTGGTATTGATGTGAGAAAGGTATATATTTGAAGTCTGTAACTGTTTATTCCTCATCTATTTTGTTCAAGTCTTTATTCTAAGATAAAACCCACTCTGAAAAAGCAAAAGCTTTCATCTGCAAATCCTTACAATAGTTAGCTCTAGAGGTCAATATTTGTTTCTTTCTTCTTTTTTGGTTTCTATGAGAACAGTGGAAGCTGTAGAAGCAAAACCTGGAAGGCAACGTTGTTTATTTGCTTTTTAAAAAAAGGAATCTTTTTTTTATCCTAGAAAAAGTGAAATATCCAAACATGACTGTGGATCCTTTCAGAACAAGGTACCATTGTTTCTCTACCAT